AATGTTCTTATTTTATGTAAACAATATTCTTCTTTTTAGTTTCATTTGTCAAATTTATTTGTTTGACTTTTTTTTTTAAAAAAAAAAAAGTATTTTTCCTCTTAAATTATTTTTTCATTTTTATGTGTGTGTATGGGTATGATTAAATGAGAACATAGTTCTCTTATAAAATGTGAGGACTGATCTCAACCGTCAATCAAAGTTCATATTAAGGGTTTTAGTAAAATGAAAATTCAGAGTCAATTTTGTAATTATTGCAAACTTTCAAATTTACAATAAATTTATGATATTGACCGTGTTATTTTTTTTTTTTTTTTCAACAACTCTCAACCGTCAATTTATTCAAATGAATAGATCAATTCTTACCTTTTATATGAAAATATGTTCACACATAAACCATTATATGTACATTTAATTTTTAGTCATTTGTAAAGTATAATAAAAGCATCTTTAGTCACTTCTGCTGTAGTTGGACACAGAATCAATCACCTCTGGTCAATTAAAGTAGTAAATATTTCACCGAGTTCTACTGCATGTACTTCTTACTTATATTCCTTCACTTTTATTCTTTGATATAACAACTGATAATTAATCATTTTTATTCTATGGATCCCAATAAAAATATCGGCGTTAAAATTTTATGAGAAATAGTAAAAATTGAGAGTAGGATTAATACTTTCCTATTTCACCTAATGATGATGGTTCACTCTTAGGAATTTGTGATGCCAGAAGAATGATGAATGCTTAGATGCCTAGATATTATATATGCCAAAGCAACCAGTAGAAGGTTAGTCATTATCATGGAATAAAGCATATCCGATTGGGTAAGTCATAAACGAAATGGAATTATCTTGTGCTAAAACCGCGAGAATTATGGAATTTCTGACCATCTCAAAATGATCTTAAATCAAGTCGAAAGTTTTATTCCGATCATTTTTGGTATCCGGAAAAACCTGTATAGCTATTTTCGATCATTTTTTACTTTCGATTTGATTTAAGATCACTTTCAGTAGTGAACATTGTGCTTACCGCATACTTTTTTTTTTCTCGCAATTGTCATTTTTTTTTTAGTATTACTGACTTTGTTATAATGTAGTATATTAATAGTATTAATTTTTTCACGCGCATTGCACGAATGGAATAATGCTCAATGATTTTTTTTAATAAGTACTTTAAAGTATATCAATACAAGATTACATACGAGATGTTCATGCATTAGTAATTGAATGTTGAATTTGTTTATTTAAATCAATAATTCACTGCTGGAAATTATGTAATTTCCGACCACCTGAAAATGATCTTAAATCAAGTCGAAAGCCTTTTTCCGACCACTTTTGGTATCCGGAAAAACCTTTGTTGCTATTTCCGACCACTTTTTGCTTTAGACTTGATATAAGATCACTTTTAGGTGGTCAGAAATTTCATAATTTACAGCAGTGATTCAAAGTATATAAATGCAAGATAATATATGGGAGCTTGATTGTAATTGTTACTAAAATAAATGTTTGCAACTTTGTAATAACGCTAGTCTAAATAATTAATCTAAAAACGATAGTCTAAATAAATAGTACTTTTGATTTAAATTTCTCTAAGTTTTCTTAATTATCTTTCCATCTTCCGTACTTGTCCTGACCTTTTTTTTTTTTTTATTGGTAGTGTGAATATAATTAATTAGTGAATTTGAAGATAAGGAATTAAGAAATTAAGCTTGCCCATCCTTTGATGGGTAAGTAGTGAGTCAGCGAAACTGGCTCTTATTATTTAAGGAGTCGAAATGGTTCTAAGTAATTTTTTTTTTTTCTAATATAGAAGTGTTTTGGGAAAATCATTCTCAAAAACACTAAAATTGAAAATATTATAAATTGCAATGGTTGTATTTTCAGTGGTTTGGAACAAATTGTTGCTTCAAACTGTTGAATAACCAAACACTTTCTTTAGCATTTTGATCTTTGGGTTACATCATATTTACCAATCGTCCAATATCTTTGGGTTACATAATAATTAAAAATTTTAAATTTTTAATACATCTTAATTCCTTAAATTAGGAATTTCTTTATCCATAATAATTTATTCAACAATAATGGTTGAACTAAATGAACACTGAGCAACAATTATAATGAATCTTCTATATTACATTTTATTCATATACTATGAGTTACATATTTAAATAAACAAATTCGACATTAAATTACTTATGTATGAACTTCTCATATATAATCTTGCATTGATATACTTTCAAATATTTATTTAATTATAAACATTGGCATTAACTTATTCGCACAATGCGCATGTAAATCTAATATTAAAATAAGATTTCAAATAGTTGTCAAAGATAAAGTAAGATCAAAATTAGCATTTATAGCTACTAATTAATCGCCCTCAATATCGTCATATTAAAATAATAAGATTAGGGAAAATAGCACTTTTTCCCCCTGAGTTATATACTTATAGCACTTTTTTCCCCCTGAATTATTCATGTAAGCACATTAGCCCCCTCAATTATTTTAAAAGTGGCGGTTTTCCCCCCTAATATATTTTATTGACATTTCTACCAAAGTAAACATTTTATTTATTTTTCCTTTTCAATAAATTATTGCGTATACATAGGGATGACCACGGTTCGATTCGAATTGAACCAGACACTATAGCAATCGAATTAAAAGTTTTCGGTTATGATTCAGATCCAGAACCCAATATTTTAATTTCAATTCATTAAAATTATGAATCGAAAAAACTGAATCCTGAACCGTGAACCGGCGGTTCTAGATCCGGTTAGCGATTTTAAACCGTCTTTATTTTTAAAATTTTAATTTTTATTTTAAAATAGTCTAAATTCAACAATAAATGTATTTTATTTTTTTCAGTTTGGACCATGAACCGGCCGTCCCGGTTCACGATTTTAATAAAATCTAAATATCGGGTTTCGATTCTAAATTGTAATTAGAATATTTCGATTTGATTTCTATAGTGTCTGTTTGGTTTGAACCAACTTGTGGGCATAATTTGTTAGAGAAAAAAATAAATGAAATATTTATTTTAAGGGTAAATATGTCCATTTAACATTTCAGGGGGAAAAACAGCCACTTGAATAATTCAGAGGGGAAAAGTGCTATATGTATATAACTTAGGGGGAAAAAGTGCCATTTTCCCATAAGATTATAAATATTTGGCCCGCATGGGTAGCTCAACTGGTTATAGAGGTGAAACTTTGGAAGAATGACCAGGGATCGAGTCTCACCAGCGGCAGTATGGGAGCAACCTCTCAAAGTGAGGGGGCTCCTTGTGCGCAGTGAACACCGGTCTAGCCTGTGTGATTCATATTCACTTGAGTCACGGTGTCACGGTCCGGGGTGTGAGAGTTGAGATTATAAATATTACGGTGTCACGGTCCGGGGTGTGAGAGTTGAGATTATAAATATTTGTTAAGAATGGGGTAATTAAGATCAAAATAGCACAGTAACATTAAAAAAAAAGATCAAAATAGCACTTATAGCTACTAATTAATCGTCCTCAATATCGTCATATTAAAATAAAAAGATAAGATGACAAATATTTGTTAAGAATGGGGTAAGATCAAAATAAAAAGATAAGATGACAAATATTTGTTAAGAATGGGGTAAGATCAAAATAACATTTACAGCTACTACTAATTAATTACCCTCAATACCGGTCCACATTAGATCTGTCAATTATGGACACGACCCGTTAACAATCAGACACAAAAATAACGGGTTAGTGTTTAGTCTTAACGTGTCTCGAATCGTTAACCGATTAACCCGTTATGTTTTGTGTCTTAACGGGTCAACTCGTTAAACATATTAAGAACCCGTTTAACACGTTAATATTATCGTGTTAACCCGTTTACACGAACATGTTTATGACCCGCTAAGAACCATTTTCATTTAGGTAAGAACAATTGTGAAATTACAAAAGATATCATTAACATGAGTAATGATGAATTTACTACATTAGGCTAATATCCTACACAATGTTCAACAATATGAAATTTGAATTTTTATTTTGTTCAATTTTATTCTAAAAATTAGTATGGACTTCTTTAATTATGATTTTTAGTTATTTATTTTATCATTTTATGAATGTTATAAATTGAATTTTTTTTTTTTTTTGGTTTGTTTGATGAATTGAATTGTAGGTTTTATTTCTTTTATATATATATATATATATATATATATATATATATATATATATATATATATATATATATATATATATATATAACTTAAATTTAAATTTTAGGTTTTTAAAATATATTAATAGGTTTAGCGGGTTTAAACGGATTTCGTGTCATATCGTGTCGACACGATTCGAAACCGTTAATAAAACATGTCTATCGTGTCAATCCGTTTAACCTGTTAACAAATCGTGTTCGTGTTCGTGTTAAAAATTTGAACCTCAACGTGTTTATATCTGTGTTTAGTCTTATCGTGCTCTTGTCGTTATCGTGTCGACCCGTTAACGGATTATATACATAAATTGCCAGGTCTACATATTAAAATAAGATTTCAAATAGTTGTCAAAGATGGAATAAAATCAAAATCAAAATAGCATTTATAGCTACTAATTAACCGCCCTCAATATTGTCATATTAAAATAATAAGATAAGATTACAAATATTTGTTAAGAATGTGGTAATATCAAAATAGCATTTACAACTACTAATTAATTAATCACCCTCAATACCGGTCAACATAATTGCGATAATAAAATAATATGTATAGTTATTAATTATTAAAATAGTAATATTTTTCCATAAAAGGCAAAAATTCTCTCTTCCCTAACCTGTTCCATCACGAAGCGGCCTCATTTTGATACCCTATATATTACCTACAACCTATCAGAACTAATTCTTTTTTGAGGAAGTTATCAGAACTAATTCTATTTCCTATACCACCATTGAAATAGTAAATACTTCATTATAAATAACATTCATAAGTCTGCAGAAAGCAAACCAAATTTACCAACTCAGAACCCAAAAATAATCATAAAAAAAAAAAAAAAAAAAAAAAAATGGAGGCAGAATTTTGTGGTCATGTTGTGTTGTTACCATACCCAGCACAAGGCCACATTAATCCTATTCTGCAATTCGCTAAACGTTTAGCCTCCAAAGGCGTTAAGGCCACCATAGCCACCACCACCTACACCGTCAAATCCATCCACGCCGCCGCCGTCACGGTAGAGCCCATCTCCGACGGCTTCGACGACGGCGGCTTTTCTCAAGCCCAGAACGTAGACGCGTTTCTCACTTCTTTCGAAGCAAACGGCTCCACGACTCTGTCCAACGTCATAGCCAAGTACGAGGATTCGCCGCATCCCGTGAACTGTGTCGTCTACGACTCGTTCTTCCCGTGGGCACTGGACGTGGCAAAACGCCGCGGCGTATACGCGGCGTCGTTTTTTACCAACTCCGCCACGGTTTGCGCGGTTTTCGCTCACATCCACCGTGGGAATCTCCGGCTTCCGGTGGAGATTAAGGAGAACGAGGCGGTGGTCCTGCCGGGGATTCCGCCGCTGTACGGCCCGGAAATCCCGAGGTTTATCACGGCGCCGGATAGCTATCCGGCTTACTTGCGCATGAAGATGAGGCAATTCTCCAACGTGGCAAATGCTGATTGGATATTTGGCAATACGTTTCAAGAATTAGAAGGCCAGGTACGATTAACCTGTATAATTACTTAGCTTACTGATTTTGAGGCTTAAGTCACAGAGAATTTCTTTTATGGTGGGTTTGGGAAGTTAGAAAATGTTTTTCAGAATGATTTTGAAAAATATTTTAATTTTTCGTATTTGAATTTATTTGAATGTTAGAAAATTATATTTAGCTAAAAGTTAAACGATATTGTATTTTACTGAAAAATGAATAGGTGTCAACTCATTAAGGGTTCATTTGGAAAGGAAGAAAATGACTTCTGGAAAATGTTTTCTGGAAAATAAGTCATTTTCCAAAAAACATTTTTCTTTCCGGTGTTTGGTAGTATTTTGGAAAACTTGGTGTGTTTAGTTTATTTTCTGGAAAAATGAGTAGAATAACTTGGTGTGTTTAGTTTATTTTTTAAAAAAATGAGTAGAATTGTACGTTTAAACATTCTGGTGAAAAATGACTTCCCCCAAATTTTGGCGGAAGTCATTTTCCGCCAAAATGGCTTCATTTTCCCCGGTCAACGGAAAATGTTTTTCGTTGACTGGATTTTCCTGTTGTATCCAAACACTGAAAACTCGAAAAACATTTTTCAGAAGTCATTTTCCTGATTTCCAAACGGACCTAAGTCCTTTTTTTTTTTTTTATTAAAACATCCACTTTTGGTCTAAGTATTATTATGGCATGACAATTTTTTATTTTTTATGAAGAGAGATAATACTCTAAAATTAACTTGAAGAGAGATACCAAGTGGCTTGTAGTGGCTTGTGGTCCATTGGTATTGGGTTGCTCCCCTAAATGGGAGGTGATAGGTTCAAATCTCAGTTGAGGTGAATAGTGTGCCTATATATAGGCTTTTGTCCTCGGTGAACTAAAAATTTATGAAGGCATTTTTTACTAAATTAAAATTTTTTTTTTTACCAAAATAGATATTTTCTTTTTAACTTTAGTTTTTTTGAAAACTCAAACACTAGGAAGTCGTTTTTCGAATTTACAAATGGATCGGAACCTTAATCTTTTAAAAAGATATATTCTATATACACTATATATATTGTGGGTAATTTGACAAAATTCTATATATATATATTCTTCAAGTACTTGTATTGGAAATTGGAATCTTGCTCGTTAGTATATTTTATATTTGTCCCATAGCATAATAAGAAAATTGGAAAAATGAGACGCTAGTTTCAAATAAGCAAATTATTACCAAGAAACTTGTAATACAATGGTATCATGTTGCTCCTTTATGTGGAATGTGATAGATTTGAGCCTTAGCAGAGGCATTTACAAAAGAGCAAATTATTCTTGTACTGAATGCATGGCTGGATTTTGGATCGTGCAAGATGAGCTTAATATTTATTTTTAGCCTAGCTATTTAAGAAATAAAAAAAATGTACAAATAATCTTAAAACTCATCAGTTTTTTTCCAAATCACTTATCTCTCATAATAATTAGGACCTAATTAATTTAGCATGGCCTAGCTACTTAAGAAATAAAAAAATCTACAAATAATCTTAAAATTCATAAGTTTTTTTCCAAATCACTTACATCTCCTAATAATTAGGACCTAATTAATTTAGCATGGCAAAATCATTTTGTAACTGAAAAGAAGAGTCATATATTTTACAATATTAATTTTAAAAATTGCGTTTATACTTTTGTTAGGGTTTATTTATAAGAACGAGGCCACAAAAAAATTAAATAAATAAAAAAAACGATCCTAATTGAATGTATATTATACAAATAATGTATTTTCTCTTAATGCAATGTACAATTTTAATATACTAAAAGTACATTATTTATGTATTGAATGTACATTACTTAATAATATGATTTACACAGTTGTGTGGACCATATAAGATTGTTTCCAATAAAAGTTGGCCTAGATGGGAATATGATATTTAATTTTGTGGTAATGAGATTTTGTTATGCATGGTAACAGGTTATGGCAGGGGTGTGGGATGTTTGGCCTGCCAAACTAATTGGGCCAATGGTGCCTTCATCATATTTGGATGGCAGGATTGAAGGGGACAAGGGCTATGGTGCAAGTCTATGGAAACCCCTTGGTGAAGAGTGTCTCACATGGCTGAAATCAAAGCCCAATCAATCTGTAGTTTATATTTCATTTGGAAGTATGGTGTCACTCAGCTCTAAACAGATGGAAGAAATGGTTTGGGCCTTGATAGCTTCGGACTTGGACTTCCTTTGGGTCGTGAGGGAGTCGGAGAGGGAAAAACTGCCCGACGAGTTCATAGAGGTCGTCACACCAGAAAAAGGACTAATCGTGCCGTGGTGCAACCAACTCGAAATGCTGGCCCATCCTTCAATTGGATGCTTTGTGACACACTGTGGATGGAACTCGACTCTAGAACTACTTAGCCTTGGAGTCCCAACCGTGGCAATGCCGCAATGGTCTGATCAATTTACTGACGCGAAATTTATCGAAGAGATATGGAAGGTTGGCATTTGGCCTAAGTTGGACAAGTATGGGGTTGTGAACAGAGAAGAGCTTGTGTACTGTCTTAAGGAAGTGATGGAAGGGGAGAGGAGTGAAGAGATAAAGAGGAATGCAAGAAAGTGGAGAGAGTTGGCTAAGGGTGCGGTTAGTGAAGGAGGAAGCTCGGACAATGATATCAATGAGTTTGTGGAGCATTTGAAATGTGCTAAAATTGGGAAATAATTAAGCCAAAGAGAAATATTAATTATTAATTAGCCAAAAAGATCAACTTTTTTATATATATATATAAGATAAGAAATAATAAAAGTTTCAAATTAAAGTTACTCTCACAACATTGACATAAAAAATAAAATTTAATGACAAAATAAATCATTTTAAAAATACTAGTATTTTCGCCCATGCAATGCACGTAATGGATATGTTGCAATATATTAAGAATATTTGGATCGATATATAACTATTTAAATTAGAACATCAAATATTATATAGTGCAATTGGAGATGCGGTTGGGATCATTTACGTGTTTCGATGTTATCATTGCTTGAATTTGAGCAAATAATTGCTCAAATTAATAGCTAATGTGTAGATGTACGCATATGGTACTGTAACTTTGGAGTATCATTGTTTAGTATTTTTTTATATATATATAAATTAGGCAAATGTGTTCGTTACAGGAATGAATTGCTATCTTAATTCAGGCAAATTATGTTGTGCATCGGTATGCACCATGCATGGTGTATACGAATGCAAAAATGACGTCGTTTTATTAAAAACGCGCGTCTCCCATTAAAAAAAAAATTCAGGTTCGATTCCCAGCAACAACATATGAACTAAAATTCCAGAATCGATGAACTATAATTCCATAATCTATGAACTATAATTCCATAATCTAATCTATGAACTAAAAATTCCAGAATGAATGAACTAAAATTCCAGAATCTATGAACTAAAATTTCAGAATCGATGAACTATAATTCCAGAATCAATGAACTAAAATTCCATAATCTATGAACTAAAATTCCAGAATGAATGAACAACATAATGCTGTTGCTGGGAATCGAACCTGATTTTTTTTTAAGGGGAGACGCGCGTTTTTAATAAAACGACGTCGTTTTTGCATCCGTATGCACCATGCATGGTGCATACGGATGCACAGCATAACTATCCCTTAATTCATTTGTATGTAATGATAGTAGCAACACAATATTCTCCATCATCGTCTAGAGCTAACACCTTCAGTCCATCAGGATGGGTGACTCGGGTGAAAATATATAATGGTAGAATATTAGTCAATTAGCGATCCTTTTTCTATTTTAAGTCAATTAGTAAAATTTTTAGTAAATTAGTCAATTAGAATATCATATCCAGTGATATTTTTACCTAATTTCTGTTCCATTTGTAATTGATGATGTATAATATTATTATTGAAATATTTGCGTTTCATTTTTAATTTACCTTTACTATTGTTTTAAATATGCATTTACTATTTATGATGTAGAATATTATTATTGAAATATTTTCATCTAATTTTAGTTTCTGTTCCATTTTTAATTAAAATGAAATGATTTAACCATTTATTTTTTCATATTAGTCAATTATAGATCATTTTTTATTTGCAGTCAACTACTAATATTCATTTCCTTTTATATTTTCAGTATATTAGCAATATCATATTCATTTTCAGCTAATTATTCTTTTTTTTTCAGTCAATTAGTCAATTAGCCCATTAGAATATCAGATGCAGTGATATGTTTACCTAATTTTCGTTCCATTTTTTAATTGATGATGTAGAATATTAGTATTGAAATCTTTCCGTTTCATTTTTAATTTTCGTTGCATTTTTAATTTACCTTTACTATAGTTTAGAATATTCATTTACTATTGAGGATGTAGAATATTATTATTGAAATAATTAATTTTCATTTTTAATTTACCTTTACTTAATATGTAAATTATTATCAAGGTTGTAAAACTCGGCCGCCTAGCCGCCTAGGCGCTAGGCGGCCCATAAATTTGCCGTTTTGGCCTAAAGGCGGCCAAAACGCGCCAGGCCGCCTAGGCGGTGGCCTGGGCGGCCTACTCGGCCAACTCGACCAACTCGGCCGAGTTTGGCCCAGTCGGCCGAGTTAATTGAATTTTTTTTAATTGGGGTTTTCGCTCAAAACGACGTCGTTTTGAGCGAAAAACCCAATTAAAAAAATTGAATTTTAATTTAATTTCTAAACCTAACTTCTAATAATCTAATTTCGAATTCTAATTTGAATAGAGAGAAACTGCGAGACGGACGGGAGACTGCATAGCGGAGAGCCGAGACGGCGAGACTCCATCGAACCAGCCGACGTCGAAGCTCCAGCCGCCGTCGAAGCTTCAGTCGCCGTCGAAGATCCAGCTGCCGTCGGAACTCCAGTCGCCATTGAAGGTCCAGCTCCAGCCGTCAAAGGTCCAGCTCCAGCCGTCGAAGATCCAGCCGCAGTTGTCGCCGTCGAAGGTCCAGCTCCAGCCGTCCGTCGCCGTCTAAGCTCCGGTTTCAGCCCTCCGTCACCGTTGTCTACTCGTCTGTAAGTTCACATTTCACAGTTCGGACCGTCGTTTACTGTCATTTTTGCTACTTGTCTAGTTGTTTTTATTGTCATTTTTGCTACTTATCCTATATTCCTATTATTCATTCATTCCTATGAATCATTGTCTCATTGAGTCTTTGAATTTTGCATTTTTAATTTTTTTATAAATCATATTCATTCATTCATTACTGTAATTTTCAATGTTATATTGTTATTACTGAATTGTGAATTTTGCATTTAATCTTTGAATTTTTGAATTTTGCATTTTGCATTTTCATTCATTCATTACTGTAATTTTGCTACTGTCACAAAATAAACTTGTGTATTGTATATATATAATTTTGTATATGTGAAATTGTGAATTGAATTATTTTATTGTGTTATTGTGTATGATTTTTACTTTTTTAGTTATAATGGCTTCATCAAGTGCTTCGGCTACTCAAAGTGTTGGATCTTCTGAAGCAATCACACTTAAAAGGAGATCAAATGATGTAGGGTGGGAATATGGTATTTTAGTTTATGGGAAAAATATGGATAAAGTAAAATGCTTGTTGTGCGGGAAACTATTATCCGGTGGAGTGCATCGAATAAAAGAGCATATTGCTCATATACAAGGAAATGTTGTTCCATGTTCTAAAGCTACTAAAGATGATCAACTTAAGTGTAGAAATGCAACTCAATGAAGCCAAGATGAGAAGGAAAAATAAAAAAGTTAATGAAGATAATTTAAGAGCTGAGGTGAATATTATTGGTAGAAGTGAGTCGATTGATGTTGAGGACTTGCAAGGGTCTCTTGGATCTATGAAGCCACCACGTTCACTTGGCCCAGTGGATAAGTTTGCAAGTGGCATCAATCCCGAACCTTTCATCAATTTAGGAAAGACAATGCAACAACAACGTATTGATGGTGCAATATGGAAGGAAAGGACAAATAAAGTGAAAGAATATATATGTAGATGGGCATATGAGGCCGCTATTCCTTTTCATGCATTTGAAAAGATAGCTTTAAGATTATGTTAGAAGCAGTTGGACAATTCGGTCCCGGAGTTGAATCACCAAGTAGATATGAGATGAGTGAAACATTCTTGAAAAAAGAAGTTGATAAAGTTCGTGAGTCTTTGAAGATACATGAAGAGGAGTGGAAGCTAAATGGATGCTCAATCATGACGGATGCTTGGACCGATAGAAAGAGAAGAAGTGTAATGAATTTGTGTGTGAATTCAAATTTGGGCACCGTTTTCCTTTGTTCTAAAGAATGTTTACTTGATTCACACACAAGTGAATATATTTATGAGTTTGTTGAGCATGACATTGAACAAGTTGGAGTTGAAAATGTTATTCAAGTTGTCACGGATAATGCCTCAAACAACATGGGAGCTTCAAAGTTGTTGAAAGAGAAGAGACCAACCATCTTTTGGACTTCTCGTGCCACCCACATGATAAATCTAATGCTTCAAAGAATTGGAAATCTCCCGAGGTACAAGAAAGTCCTTGATCAAGCAAAGACATTAACGATCTTTATTTATGCTCATCACAAGACTTTGGCAATGATGAGAACTTTCACAAAGAATAGAGATATAGTGAGACCCGGTGTGACTAGATTTGCATCTTCATTCCTTACTTTGCAAAGTTTAGCCGAGAAGAACTTTCACAAAGAAGAGAGATATTAGTTGTTTGAAGGAATGTATGATAGATTGATAGTTTTATTATTTGGACGTGCTATTTGATTGAATGTTGAAAACTGCTTCATTAAATTTGTCAAACTGCAAGTTTGCTACTGTTTTTTAATTTTTTTTAGAGCCCGCCTAGCGCCGCCTAGATTCCGCCTAGGCGCTAGGCGCTGCCCGACCGCCCGACTAGCGCCTAGCGCCTACTGCAACCTTGATTATTATTATTGAAATATTTCCGTTCTATTTTTAATCTCCGTTTCATTGTTTAGAATTGTGAAAGATTTATGACATAATTGTGATTGGATGTATTATACTGTTTAATATTATTGTGAAAAATTAAAATGCAATGATTTGACCATTTCTTTTTACATTTTAGTCAATTATGGATCATTTTTTATTTACTGCAAACCTTCTTGTTGTTATTATTATTATTATTATTACTAGTAATTCACCCGCGCGATGCACGGAAAAAAATTATGTTATTATAAATATAAATAAAAAACTAGAAAAACTAAAATATTTTAAATTATTTAATATAATAATATTTTTGAGCTTCCATTGGTCAAGTATTTATTATTTTTATAGAATACAAAATTACAATTAAAATTAAAATTAAAATTATAATTTTGTATGCTTAATATAATCTCTAATTATGTGCATATTCAAATAAACTTATAGAGATAATTTACATAATTACGTTGATTTATTCTTAATTGTATTTCATCTATATTATAATTTTCACAATACAAATAATAACTAAGATAATTACATTTGGAAAGCAAATTTCAAATTTTGTATGTGTAAATTTAAACTCTAATTGAACACATTTTTTATATGATTATATAATATATAGCTATTTTATTTTTCAAAAGTATATTTTTTTTATATGATTATATAATATATAGCTATTTTATTTTTTAAATGTTGTGTTTTTTTTTTATATAATAAAGGATGTTGTGGCATTAATTGTAACATTAATTATTTCCCAAACCATATAGCTTTATTATATAAAGGATTATTATTATTATTATTATTACTAGTATTTGACCCGTGCGCTGCACGGTATGTAAATTAAAAAGTATTTATTTTGTGTATGTTATGTTACAAATTGTGTGAACTAATGAGCTTAAAATTGATAACATATAAATGAAATATGATTGGAAATTCAACAAAAACAATATGAAAATGTTATATTACAGATAGTTGAAAGGTCACGGAACTAATAAAAAAGGATAAATACAAAACCACAGATTATTGAAAACCTCATGATATACAACATTAGTGGTTGATGTAGTAGTTGAAGTTGGGTCTTTGACTATCAATATTTTGAGACCGTCTGGATTGTTAACCCGAGACGCAGCAACGTACAACTGGCCGTGTACAAAAACCAGTTTCTTTAGTATTAAACCAACATGAGTTAACGTTTGTCCTTGACTTTTGTTAATGGTCATTGCATATGAAATCATAATTGGGAATTGCCTTCGTTGAAATTTGAAAGGCAATCTTGGATCAGAGGGTGATATTGACATTCGAGGTATCAACACTTTTGTACCTTTGTTAGGTCCAGTCAGAATCTCGCCTTCAATAACATGGTCTGCTAACTTTGTGATTATCAACCGAGTGCCATTGCACAAACCAAGAGAATGGTCAATGTTTCTCATTAACATTATCGGGGATCCTATTTTCAAGGTCAATGCATGATTTGGTAAACCTGAAACCCTAATGCTGTTTAGAAATTCCGGTGTGTGTATATCTCCAAATATACCGTTGTCCCCATCGGCTTTGCATACTGCATCTGAACTAAAGTACGATCTGCTCTCGGCATTATGCAACTCAGTCATATATTCATTCACTGCGTTGACCACATCGAGCGTTGGTGCTAGTATAACACGACCTATTAGATGCTCAGGGTCAGTGTTTCCATTTGCAAACATCGGAAATGTACTGTGAACAATTGTTTTAATATCATCCGCTCCAGCTGACAGTAACATGTGTTTTGGAATTTCAACCTCTGCGAAACCATCATTCCGCCCACCCAGCTTTCCATCACCGACATTAGCAATCCAATTGGCAAATTCTTGTAAGGCCTGCCGATTTCCAGGATTGGGTACCGAACATAGTCTCAGGTTTTGTGTCAACCTTAAAACTTTGCAACTATCCCATAGGTACGATGAATTTATGGCTGAAGAAACAATATCTTGCCGTGTACCTTTTGGAACTACCGGTACGATTTGACGGAAATCTCCACCCAAAACAACTGTTTTACCACCAAACGTCTTCATTTCACTGCACGGGTCTACAAAACGCAACAAATCCCTCATAGTTCGATCTAATGCTTCAAAACAATGTTTGTGCATCATGGGAGCTTCATCCCATATTATCAAACTCGTCTTTATCAACAATTCAGCCAGCTCGCTACCTTGCTTAATGTTACAGGTTGAGTCTTCATTTATTGCAATAGGTATTGCAAATCTCGAGTGAGCAGTACGGCCACCTGGTAACAAAAGAGAAGCTATGCCGCTTGAAGCCACATTTAAAACGATCTTACCTTTGGATCGGATTGCAGCTGACAACGCTCTCCACAAAAAAGTCTTTCATGTTCCACCGTAACCATAAACAAAAAATAAGCCACCTTTACCTTCCTCAATGTCTTGTATAACCGTATCATAGATGAGACTCTGTTCTTCAGTTAATTTCGCACACAACACTTCCGCATCTTCTTTCAACTGCTCACAATTGTAAGCTAACTCTTCAAATATCAACCTATTTTGAAACAACCTTGAATTATCTGTACATGGTATTGGCATCGGAGGATAGTCTTTTAAAGATTTATTTTGATGCCCCAATAGGTTTTCCAATTCGAACAATGCAAAGTTCTTTTTCTCTTCCTCTGTTAAGACCAAGTCTGTTACGATGGAAACAGTCAGAAAATTATCCTTATAACTTAATTGAATTTATACACATAAAAAAAAATACATTACCTGGTTGTTTTAATATTCTTCTTTGATAGTGTTGAGCATCTTCAGACAAATGTTGCCACACCTGATTCCAGACATTTTCCGGCCTAATAATTGATGAGGATGTTAGTAAGACAACAAATAGCTTCCTTAATGAATATGCAGTTGACCAGTAGCTTGCTTCATTTATAGCATCAATGTATTCTTTATCATCGTCTAACAATCCATGAGCATAACATGCATCTCTAAAGGTCAAGTACTCAACACCATTAACTGTCCTAATATCTTGGAAGCATTTTGGGCCACGAACTATGTTCAATAGACACCTTAAATAATAAATTTCTCCTGAATATCCTACCAATTGAGAAACCCTTCTTTCTTGGGTGCCATTCACGGATGTCCTTTTTCCACACAAATTTGGTAGGCATCTCAATGTAAGTTAATAAGCAGCTCGCTTCTTTAAACTTCTGGTTGGCTACAAATCATGCGTTAAACATACTTTGCCCAACGGTTTCTCTATTCAGGACATGATCAATAGTATCATCGTCTTGGAACACAACCGATTGGCAGTCGGGCAAGTGAAAGCTTAGTCGCTCAACCGGTGGAGTCCTGTACTGGACTTCAAAGCTAAACAACCGCCATGCGGCCTCGCATGCAGATATGTACCGGCAATCATAGTACATATTTATTTCATCAACCATCTCATTACCAGCTTCATCCATTGTAGTCTTATAAAACTCAGCCGTTACACGGTCGTTACCCTTGTTGACATACTTAAATAAGTACTTGATTGACCTAGATTGGTTACACCACTCTACATTGATGTGTGCTTTGTATTTCAATAGCAAGTACCGATTATGTGGTACAACATATCTATTGTCCAACTCTATTCCATTTTTTTTAATTGTCCTCTTATCATCCCTTCTTCGATACAACGGGTAACCATCTTGGTCAAAATGGGATGCATCAATAAATCTCTTTGGAAAATGCTTCGAGCACTTGCCATTTACCATGCACGGTGAATTACTCCTGGAAACCCCACATGGGCCGTGCAACATGAATTCTTCGACCGCTTTGTAATACTCGATGTCTATCACCTTTTCTGGGATCTCGGCCGAAATGATCGTGTCCATAAAAGCAGGATTGGCAAGGCAACTCGATTGTAGGAAAAATAATATGTGAGCATGTGGAAGACCCCGTTTCTGAAACTCAATTGTGTATATTACTGTTGAAAAAACAATAACATGATGTTAGTTCTAGAATTCGTATGATTAAGTACTGTATTAGCAAATGATCTTATAAGGAAATGCGATGCGCACCTGCCCTTATAGGACCAAACAGTTTCCCATTTTTTATTTCTTTTATTACGCAATCTAGCTTCATCTTGAAAATTCGGCAAACAATGTCCGGACGATCTTCAGCTTTCAAATTTCTTTTCTCCAAAAACCGTTGAACCTCCGGCCATTTAGGATTACATGTAAATGTAATAAACAGGTTTGGATAACCTATAAATCTGCAAATTGCCATGGCATCTTGGTAGTTCTGTATCATGTATCTTGCTCCTCCCGTGAAACTTGAAGGTAATATTATCCTTTTACCTTGAGAGCTAGGTTGCACTTCACCTCGTGTTAATGCATCAGAAAGACCTTTGTACGCCTCACATCTTAAAGCTTTTTGATTTGACCGAATGTATAGCAACCTCGAAGATTCAACCATAGTATACGCATCAACCAAGAATTGTTGGAATAACCTTTTAGCGTACGATATAGTTGAGATCTCATTTGATCTTTCGTGTATACGGAACGCAAAGTACTCTCTTTGTGAAACACTCTTTCTTGCAAAATTTTGTTTATTACTATGTGTGGCAAAATGTATATGTTCCGTGAAACCATCCTCCCCATATGGAAATAAAATTGGGTATTGCAATGGTAGATAAGCTGGGTTTAATTCATTAATTCTTTTAAGCATTCCAGACCTAGACTCGACCACGATATCACGTTCACCCATGCAAGGGTCTAGATCTCCAACAATGAGAGCAGCAACCTCTGAAGCAGTTGGTAGTGCATACGTTCTGGCATCTTTAGACCTCTTCCCGATTAATCTCATTCTAATTTCACTTGTAGGATTAGATTGCATAAATGACTTGGTCATTCGGAATGACTTAACCAAAACATTGTGGTCATCTAGCTCTTGCTTAATGTCATGAACTACATCAAGATGCACGGCAGAACCATTGCTTTCCGTCCTAAGAGATAAAAATATATAATATAAGCTTTGCAGTATTAAACAATGACAGTAATAAAAGAGTTTAGTAACCCCGTATATTATTATACCTGAAAGAGTTGGAGCGATTTTGTATCTCATTCTCTGTATCGTGAATGTATAATTGTGCAAATTTCGGTTGAGTGCCGAGTGCCGGCAGTAAACTTCCAATGCGATGGAAATTTTGACCATTTATACGGAATATGGGAGGCGATGTTCCATTGTTAATAGTCCTATCAATTTTCCCACCCATTGACGTGAAGCAAAACATATTGTTATATGACCTTATATTCTTCAAAAAACATTTGTTTTTATCACTTGATGTAAAGAATAGATCATACAACTTTTGCAGAGGCCTTGTCATCAATGGCAACTTTATCTTGCCATTCACACAACATGCGGTGTACTTAGGGCTGTCACATGATCTTGAATTGCTTGACCATTCATTGTACCAAAAAAATGCATTACAATGCTCGCAAATATACTCGGGATCACCACTATCAAAATAATAGTCTATGAAAAAAAAATTGATATTAGTCCATATGTAACAAACTAATGTAGTTCATTGTAGTCAAAAGATAGTACGTATTCGTTGGACAACATTTAATATGAAGTCACCATTTTTTTTTGGCACATTGTCATGCAAATGGTCCACAACTCCCTGGAAATCTGATATCAAATTTCGACATTGCCTGATGGGTTCAGGCTCGGACTCTACGACGACTATTTGCATGTTGTTGTCATTTGTAATACAACAATTACTTTCAAGTCCTACAGAAACGATTATATAATATATTACATGATTATTACATTCAATTTAATATTGACTTGGTAATAAGAAACGCCTTTTGGTAATATATTGATACCTAGTTGCGAATCTGGTGATCGATTTAAGTCGAAGCACCGATTCCGACAGTTGGATGTTGTTGGTATGGCGCGATCCCCATTAACTGTTTCGCCGTTTGCTTAAATTAAACAGAAATTTTCAGTAAACCTGTTAGACTATTTAGTATTCCCGTCGGATACACAATAAAATCATAGTAATATTATTACAATATGCTGTTTGAGATTATTACTATTTGTTATGTTGCTAAACGGCATTCTGCTACCCCAAACTTGCGTTGATGTAGTCTGCATTGGCGTTCTCCCCGTATAAGAATCTGTGAATTACGGAAAAAAAGGTTTTAATGAATTAGCAGTTAACCCAGGTGATTATAGATTATTTACTCAATTTCACGTTGATTACCTTGCGAGAGTGGTGATCTATTTAGGTCAAACTGATGATTATGGCGCTTGGTTAGAGGTGATTTATCAAGTTCCACGGTAGCTCGAGTTACATTTACTTAAATTATACAACAGGCGTAAACAACACACGTTAGCTAATTACTTAAATTGTTATATAATTTATTTACTAAAAATTTGGTAATATTGGTTTAGCTAATTACTATTTGATATGTTGCTTAATGTCATTCTGCTACCGGAATCTTGGATTGGGGTACTCCGTATTGTCGTTCGAATCGCATTGTCACCTGTCGATTGCAATGACAACTAATATTAACAATGATTCATTAACGTAGTGAACTGTTCCAACTGAAAACACTTACCATTTGAAAGGATACTTAAAGGCGTACTTAGTGAACTTTGGAAAACACCAATTAGCGGTGTACCCATTCTTGTATTCTTGTTAGATTGAAGGAACGACATGGACGCTGCATCATTGACATTGATATCTTCATTATCTGTTAGAATTATAGAATGTTATCAATACACATGTATTATTTGGTGTAACAATTTTGGTTACTCATACCGAGATGTACTTTAATTAATCAATCAGTGTCCCAATATTGACATAATTTTATACACACGACGTTAAAGTAATTCTTAATTTATTATTTAGTCATGAATAATAATTACATTACAGATATATTGAGTACATGAAGTAATTCTTAATATATTATTTAGTCGTTATTAAAGAATCGAGTACATGAATTTGTGATACATAAACAATTAAACTTAGTGTTTAAATAATAATCATAATATTTATGCGGACTGCGATTACGTAATCGTTATTATTATGACTAAATAATAAAACAATTTATGCTTAGGACAATTAAACATCTTATGAATACATATTACGTGATCGTCTTGACTATGCTTAGGACATTAAACATTTTTTATCAGGATGGTTACCATACTAATAATAAATGTATTTGTTTTATAATAATACATTTCAGTGTTATTCTAATCAAATTTATATAGCAATAATAATAATTGACTAATAATAATAATAATAATAATAATAATAATAATAATAAACACAATAACCGTAATAATAGAATATAATAATTATAATAATAATAACAATAATAATAATAATAATAATAATAATAATAATAATAATAAAACTAAAAAGGAGAAATGCGTTGATGACTACAGCTAGCCTCCTTGGGTGAAGTTCACCGCTGTCCTTCCCTTCCAGAAACACCTATCACGCTCTTTCCTAAGCTAGCACACTCATCCATTGTTGGTTCTCTCACAAAAATGGAGTTCATTACTCCGGTTAGGGTTCGATTTGGCCATCTCGACCCGTCTATACTATGGATTCGCGATGAAGATGATCTCACTGTGAAGTATAGGTTGACGCATACGACTCAACAATACTCAATCCGAGTGTTAAGACCATAGTCAAAACCCCGATTCGGAGTTATAAACGGTGTTTCGTGCTATATATTAGCAATATACACAGCCGGCTGTCATGGAGGTTTGAGGAATCGAAGCTTGGTGGTAGTAGATCCATCGATTGATCAACAATGGAGAAATGCAGAAATGGGTGTTCTCCTACACCATTTCTACAATTTTTTTGCAGTTGGGTAATGATTTCTAACCCTATCTCTTCTAAATTTTCAGATCTAAGTAGTTTGTATGTATATCTATCTAAAACGTATATTTGTAGACCTAATTTATAGAAATCTTGTACGTGTATTATGAAATTTGTTTATCAGAACAAATATATACTGGAATTTATATAGTTTATAGCGTTTGAGATAGTATTTGGGGCAAGAACATATGCATAGGGTTTATATGCTTTTAAATAGTATTTAGGGCAATAATCTAACACAGATTATTATAAATAAGGATAAGAGTATATAGAATTACCTGGGTTGTTGCTGTTCTGTTTCCGCTTTGCACCAATCGTGGTTGAAGTTGTGATTTTCTTCATTTGTGTTCGTCTGGAAATGTCTTTTCTGCAGTTCTAATTATCAGTTTTGTTTAGGTGTTGATGCAGAGAGAATAAAAATATGTCTATGTTGATTGTTATATAGTAGTACAGACTTCAAAACCAAGATTGGTAGCCCAACATTGGAAACTGGCCAATATAAATCAAGTTGGAATACTAAAAGTTTTAGTTGGGCTACTTAATGCATATTGATATGAATATACGTGCTAGTTGCATATTATTAGTATTTCCTTCTAATAATTTTATTGATTATTCATTAGTACAATTATTCTGAAATATGTTATTTTAATTGCTGTAGTAATATGTTATTTTTCAGGTACCTTGCATATAAAAAGAGATGTGTTTGTGAACATGTGGTGACATGTTTTCACTATCATAGTACCAATGCTATCCAGTTTGGTAGTTACAATTGCTAATGAAGCCTCAAAGATAAGTTTTAAGCCTAGACAATAGACTAAAATCTACTTTCATATATATTGATATTTAAAAATAATATTATTACATTGTTTCTAACAAATCTCTATTTTATTCTCCCTTGATACATGTAATTATCTTGTGGAATCTGTAATACCAAATAGAAAGTTGATCTTAAAGTTGTTTAGCATCAATTAACCATTTTGTATTTGCAAATGGTAACTGCAAAATCTCTAAATATAATACAATGATCATGTTAGAGATTTCTAATACCGTGCTTATTGTGAGGGCACATTTGAATAACAATGGTATCTAAATTTAATTATTGTGGACAAAAATGCAGGCAAGCTGCTACCTAATCTATGATGGTTCAAAGGATTTGGAAGAGAGTTTATATTGCAAGTTGTTGTGAGCACTGCTGTGGCCTCTAGTGGACCTTATAATGCACGTTGTCAAACCCAGTTGCACTTTCATTATACAAGATAAGTTTTAATTACATAATTAGCTATCACTATACTTAAGTAAACGTGTGTTCCCTACTCATGTACTCAATGTAATATATCTGAGTTATATTTTGAGTTGCATTATATTATGCTTTCTGAATCCGCGATGGAAATCAAATTGTCTCTTTACTTTATTAGAGTATTAGTAATTTCAGGTTTATAAATTCAAGTTTACTGAAAATACTAATCAGATCTGATTGGATTTTTTTTTTCTGGTTATGTTAGGCTATTGAAATACCTTTAGGATGAAGTTATATTACATTTGTACTCAGAATGGTGTTTTTGCATCCATTCTAAAGTATAATGAAGTGCGTCTAACTTGATCCTACTAAAAAAAATCTAATGAAGTAACAAAGGTGTTAACCTTTCTGTTAGAATACTAATAGATTGAAAACTCTGAAGTTTGATATATTTTACGTTTGAAAATTGATGTTTAAGAACACATTCTATTATATTCTGCAAGCACAATTAATATATTATTTTAAAAGTATTTTTGTTCCCTTATATTAAGTACAATGTTAATATGCTGTTTACATGTATCCAGTGTGTTCAAATTTGGATATCAACATGCTTTGCTTTTGGTGATTAGAAAAATGAAGAAGGAGTGACATCAACAAATATACATGGTGAGATATATCTTTTTCTAACTAATTTAGTTTTGTACTCTTTGTATAAATAGTTTATTAATCAGTGTATAGTTATTGATAGCATGTAATCTAAGTAGAAGTGATGGATAAGTGCCTTTAGGATTAGATTAAAAAAAAAGAGTTCATATTTACAAACTTTACATTGTTAGGAATAGAACATGGAAAACTAACTATTTATCACTAAGCTTTATCTTACATTGATCTGGCCACTAATGTTTTAAATTAACAAATTACAATTGAAGTTATATACGTATGCTAATATATACTATCTGCATTGTCTTTTTCCATCGCGGGATGTTAATACTCGTTTACTTTATGTGGAATCAATCTCTTCTTTAGTACCTACAAACAAAACAACAAACAAAATTTGCAGAAAAGATACAAAGTTATCCTTACTAATAACATAAGTTAATCTTTGCGAACTGCAACAAATTAAAAAAAAAAAAAAAAAAAGAGAGAGAGTCTAAAAATGTTGTCAAACTGTCTAAGGACAATCACAAGTGTGTCCTCACAAAACCATCCACAAAAAAAAAAAAAAAAAAAAAAAAGTTCAGTAGAGCACATCCCAGACATTCTACTCATTACACATTCATTATTTCTCCATTTTGACCACAGCTTCCTTGCTTTGTTTAGAACTTTGTGTGCTGGAAAATTCATCAATCAGGGACCTCTTGACAGTGCCATTCTCAATGGTGTTCTCTGCATTCAGCCTCTGTGCAACAACTTGTAGAGGACTTTCAGCTTCATTTGCTTGGTCATTTTCCTACAAAGTAGAGATTTGAAACTGTAAGTACTAATTAATTTGCATTTTTAAAGTAACTAGTATTTGACCCGTGCACTGCACGGTATGTAAATTAAAAAGTATTAATTGTGTGTATGTTAAGTTACAAATTGTGTGAACTAATGCGGTTAAAATTTATAACATATAAATGAAATATGTTTGGGAATTCAACAAAAACAATATGAAAATGGTATATTACAAATAGTTGCAAGGTGATGGTACTAAGAAAAGAGAACTTTACAAAATTACAAATTATTGAAAACTTCATGATATACAACATTAGTGGTTGATGTAGTAGTTGAACTTGAGCCTTTTACTATCAATATTTTGAGACCGTCTGGATTGTTAACCCGAGATGCAGCTCCGTACAACTGACCGTGTACAAAAAACAATTTCTTTAGTATTAAACCTACATGAGTCAACGTTTGACCTTGACTTTTGTTTATGGTCATTGCATATGAAAGCATCAATGGAAACTGCCTTCGTTGAAACTTGAACGGCAATCTTGGATCAGAGGGTGACATTGACATTCGGGGAATCAACAGTTTTGTACCTTTGTTAGGACCAGTCAGAATCTCGCCTTCAATAACATGGTCTGCTAGCTTTGTGATTATCAACCGAGTTCCATTGCACAAACCAAGAGAATGGTCAATATTTCTCATTAACATTACTGGTGAACCGATTTTCAAAGTCAGTGTATGATTTGGTAGACCTGAAACCCTAATGCTGTTTAAAAATATCGGTGTGTGTACATCTCCAAATATACCGTTGTCGCCATCAGCTTTGCATACTGCGTCTGAACTATAGTATGACCTGCTTTCGTCATTATGCAACTCAGTCATATAGTCATTGATTGCGTTGACCACATCGAGTGTTGGTGCTAATATAGCACGACCTAGCAGATGAACGGGGTCAGTGTCTCCATTTGCAAACATAGAAAATGTACTGTGCACAATTATTTTAATATCATCCCCTCCGGATGACAGTAACAATGATAATATAATAATATTAAAATGAGAGACGAACGAATCGAGAAGATTCATTTCTTCATCTCTGTCTCTCTCTACATTCATTTGCTTATTCCATCCTCCTACTTCTCTGTTCTTTCTATTTTTTTTTGGAAATATCCAGTTCTAGATCTGTGGGGTGACTTATGAGAAGCTGAAATTTCATTGATCACCTACATCTCTGTCTCTAGTATTGCACCCTTGCGTTGCACGCCCATGATATTATGATGCAATATATAAAAGATTGAAGATATAGGACCATTAACGTTTTAGATGTAATAAAAAAGACAAAATATAATTTATTGGCGTTCCATAAACAAAAAAATTACACATTATTAAAGATTTCTTTGTAAACTACATTTTGAGTTTTGTTTAAAAGACCTCTAGATTCCCCACAAATTAAGACATTAAGACCGTCAGGATTATTCACCCTAGAAACTGCTACTGTACTACATATAATTGGTCATGGTTAAAAACTGGTTTTTTCAGTAACAAACCAACATGTGAAAGCGTTTGACCTTGACTTTTGTTGATTGTCGTTGCATATGACAACATAAGTGGAAACTGCTTTCTTTGAAATTTAAATAGAAGTCTTGGGTCTGAAGGAGTCAAAGATAACCTTGGTATCAACACATTTGTACCTGCAGGAGTCAAAGATAGCCTTGGTATCAACACATCTGGAAGTCTTGGGTCTGAAGGAGTTTGATTTTGATTGGACGATAAATCAATTGATTTGAAAGGAACTTGTAATTTTTTGTTGAACTAAAATATCATTTTTTATAAATACAAATAAAATAAATGTAATTCAATTTTTGCATTATTAGGAAACAATCCATTAAAATGTAGAAATATCTACATCAAAGAAGTATATAATTTACAGTTGGTTCGTTATTTTCATTATTGCTCGATTAATTTTGTACGCAAAGATGTCAATTTGGCAGCTCATGCCTTAGCAAAACATATTGATGCGACTGACGTTCGTTCGGTTTGGAGGGATTATCCTCCCCTTTTTGTCTCATTTAATGCAATCTGATTTCCTTGGCTTTCAAAAAAAAAAAATTAACATGTGAATTAATATATAAATTCTAAATATAAGTTTATATCTAAAGGAGTTATAACTGTTATATAACTTCATAGAATTTATATATATTAAAATATATAAAACATACTCCGTATATTTTACGTAATACAGCTGCACAAATATTCTCAAATAAATAAATAAATTATATATAATTAAAATGAAGGTTCTGGAATGGTGTATACGTGTAATGCTGATGGCATGCCACGTTATTTATTTATTTATTTATTTGTTAGGAATAATGTTCAAATTGGCCACTGAACGTAACTTGAAAATGCAATTAGGCCACTGAACGAAAATAAAGTGTAATTAGGCCACTGAACACTCTAAAAATGTGCAATTTCACCTGATAGCAGGTTACCCTCAATTTTAGCAGGTTATCTGCTTACGTGGCAGCTGAGTTGGCATTTTTAATAAATTTTAAATCATTTTTAATAAATTTTAATAATAAATTTTTATTTTAAAAAATTTTAAAAAAATAAAAATGACTTTATTTTATTTTTTTATTTTATTTTTTTCAATTTTTTATAAAATTTATTATTAAAATTAATTATTAAAAATTATTAAAAATGCCAACTCAGCTGCCACGTAAGCATGTAACTTGCTAAAATTGATGATAACTTGCATCCGGTGAAATTGCATACGTTTGGAGAGTTCAGTGGCCTAATTGCACATTTTTAGAGTGTTTAGTGGCTTAATTGCACTTTTTATTCATTCAGTGACCTAATTGCATTTTCAGGTTACGTTCAGTGGCCAATTTGAATCTTATTCCTATTTATTAAAAAAGAAAAGAGGAGGATGAAGGGTCTAGAACTGCTTCCTCCTTCTCTCGCATAGTCGTACGATTCATCTGCTCAAACCTAATTCGGACACATCGTCTCACTCTCTGTCTCTCTGTAATACCGTCTCTTTGAGACTTCTTTACTCTCATCCTCTCGCCTAAATCGTCTCATTTCACCATTTACGGACATCACCATCTCTCGATATCTCTCTCTATTACCGTCTGAATTTGTTGAATCCGTAAAATCTTCTCAACACAAGCTCATTTTTAAGTTCATACAAAGAAAGGTATGTATTTTCTTAACTTAGATTTCTTTATTTTGCTTCTCAAAACCTAAATTATATTTTACATCATTTTAATCTTCCGGTTTTTTTTTTGTTTTTTTTTTTTTTTTGTTTGAAAACAGACCGGCTTATTTCTAATATTTAGTATTTGCAGTTTGATAAATACCTCATGCAATTAAATTTTTGTCTTGGTGCTTCTATATTCTCGTAGATCTACGAACTAATTCGTTTTTTGAGTAATTTTTAAATCTTATATCACAAATCTACAATCTGAAAAAAAAATTTCGGAGTTTAAATGATATTCTCTGTACTGCATTTCTTTTTTGGTGTGATATATTTTTCCTTGATTGAATATGTTTTTCTGTTTTTTTTTTTTAAAAAAAAAAACTAAATAGAAAAGTTCTATTGAGCTTTATTCTCCTATTCTTCTATTACCGCTAAAATTCCTAATCTTTGTTTATTATACTTTAGGGATTCCTGTTTATAATTTTAATTTTTAGTAAAATTACTAATCTTATATTTATTTTTTTTAATTTTTTTTGTGTGAGGATGAACTTGGTGACAAATGTTCTTAGAGCAGATCAGTGAATGAGACATAAGCAAGATTTGAGGAGAATACAACAGTTGAAATAAACACATTTCAGATTAGTTTGTGCTTTACCTTTTATTTCGTTAATATTGTTTTCTTTGTTCCATATAATGGTGGATTTTTTAAGTTTCTTCATAATAATCCAATGTGAGAAACAATTTGTACTGCCCTACTCTACATGTGTTATAGAGTGTTTATATTTGTTTGAGCAGAATATGATCTATTTAAATAGGGGAAGAGTTGGCCTTTGCATTGTATTTGGGTATGTGCTTATCATTGTGTCAGTAGAAATGAAGAGTTTATTCCTAAGTAATGATAGCTGGTGTCATTAAACATTGCATCACACTATCACAGTCGTTAAGTGTATGATCATGGTTTTTTGACTAACTGTTATATTTATAGTGTATAATAATCTTTATTGTTATACTTCAGGTAATAAGTATAGTATTTTAAAAAGTTTAGGTTGTGTGATTGCTTTAAAATATTTTTTGTTTCCATCTCAATTCTTGATTATTTTTGCTATGTATGTTAGAAAGTATGGAATAGACTAATGTGTCACTTCTTTGCCACAAGTTCATTTTTACATCAAGTTTTTTTTTACATGTCTGCACACTTAATTATATCTTTAGTTACTTAATTTTTTTAGGGAATTAAATTTGAGCTTTTAAAGTTTCAATCAACCAATTTGAAAGTGATTGAGAAGGCAGAGATAGCTTACATTATGAAGTTGATTATGCACATTTGTAAAGGTGTATGAACACAACTTTCAAAGCTAAATTTTTTCTTTTATTTTTTTAAAACAACATTTGCTCAATTTTTTTTCTTCAAAATGTGCATAAGTAGTTTTTAGCCTTCTTGTTGTAGTAAGTAGCCCTAAAATGCTAAAATAAGTAATTTTAGGCTTGTTGGTATACATATGCTAATATTTAGTAAGTACCCTTAAGATGAGAATTTGGTGTTTTCTAACTAAAGCAGGCAGATAGAATATAGAACAAAATAAGTAACAAAATAAGAAATAAAAAAACAAAAAAGCATAGCATATAAAGCACTTCTAAAAAAGTGCATACTAACAAAATAGGCACAAACATCACTGATACAATATGCATTTGCTAGTGCATATTGTAAGAAACTGTTTTCAAAAAACAAAGAAACTGTTTTCAAAAAAAAAAACACATTGATACACACAGTAGTGCATATTGAAGAAAATTAATTCAAATTGAAGAAAATTAGATTTTCTGCTGTTTAATGAGAACAACCTTAGATCTCTTAACTTCTTTGCTTGATGAGAATTGGTCTAGTATGCTCTTAGTCGCTCCATACTCCACTGGTTCATCATTGTCATCCAACCTTAGCTTTTCACTGTTTGGCATATAAGAACTTCTAACTTCATCCCAAGATTCACTCTCCCGTTTCCCAAAAAAATAAAAAAAATTAGTTAGACAATGAATTAATAAAATAACTAAGTGAATAGATCAGGTATGTACCTCAGACTCCTGCTCTTGACTCAGACTCCTGCTCTTGATCTTCTTCATCAAGCATCCTAGAGAGATGGTCATGATCATCATTCAAAGAAGGGCAGTATATTTCAACAATTAAGGTATATAAATAAAAACAGTGTACACTGGAAAGTTGAGACAATAGATTAAAAAAAATTCAAACTGGAAATCTGAAACAATAAATTAAAACATATCAATCAATTCCTTATTTGGAACACTTTCAAATTAGGTTCAACTTCTGACTTGCTAGCTTCACTGATAGTTTGATTAGTGTTCAACCTTCACTGTTTGTAGCTGGATTAGGATACCATTTAAGACTTAAATATCTTGATTCCTCCAAACTGTGAGTGACTAATGGCAAGAAGCTTGAATACTATATAGACCTGTTTCCTGTAGAATGGTATACACTGCAATGCTGCATAGTTCTCTGCTTCTTAAGACTATACAGAAAAAAAAATTAAAGTTAATTAATGTAGAGTTGATATTAGTAAGTCGTTATAAATTGCTGTTAATTTATCTTTTTCATTGATTGCTTACCTCAACTTTCCATGTGTGTAAATACTTCGGAATGTCTTCCAATGCTTCACAGTACTTTTCATCACATTCAGACATCTGTTGCATTTGCGTGTTTATTTCTTCATCTCTGTCTCTAGTATTGCGTGTTTATTTGGTAAATATTTTATGCACTTATCTCTCGATTTACATTTAGTACAGTAGTATATTTCCAGCTCTGCAAATTTTATTTTATTTTATTCTGTAGAGTAACAAAATGGCGATAGATCAAGTTGAAATCCTAGATCTGGATCATGCATGAGGGTAGTTGGTTTTTTGGTGCAGTTCTCTTATAGATCTGGATCATGCACGAGGGTATTGTATACTAATAATTTCAACCTTCACGGGACAATTGTTTACTAATAATTTTTTAACTGAACTGCACCAACTATACTTTGACAGTTAAAGGACTTCAATTGGCGATGGGCATAGAGTATACAATTGGGCAAATTGGACTCAAAGGAGTATAAAATTCCAGGTACGTATATTACTGGCAATGTACAATTTATTTAGCATAGTATTGATTGATCATAGTTGGTGTCAGTGTGTCACATATTTACATAAAAAAAAAGTGAAATAAAAAACACTACACAGATAAGAGAACAATAATGAAATTGAATTAACGGATTGAAATTAACATTACACACTAACATAAACACACATGTATTAGTTGAATTAAAGGATTCAAATTAGTTATGCATTTGGATTATACCTCTATTTGGAGCAATGTGTTTCCTCTGGCAAATTGTGACCAAGCTTCTTTGTTACTTGTAGCATCCTCCCTTCCTTGACCAAATTATTTCGAGAATTCACCTTGACATCAGAGAATATTTCAAATTCTTTCTTCATCAACATGCACTTTGAATTTTTAATACTTCTCTCTGAATTCATGGAATATCAACAGTTGATAGGCAAACTATCTAATTTTCAACACCATGAAGCAATTCAGATGTGAACATTCAATTTTATTCTTAATCTGTGTATTTTGATTCGTTTTTTTAGCTAAAAATTTTAGATTCATGGATTTCATGCAATTTATAAACAAGGAGCATTACCATTCAAATTCAAATCCAATATCCCTCAGTTTAACTCAGTACCTAGGAATTACATCACCCCTTAGTTCTACATGAAGCATAATACCATTTTGTGTCACTTTCTATGAATAGTTGAATACAATTCTAGTAGCAACACAAAAATCTTCAAACTGCCATAACAAAAGACTAAGACCAAATTTATCTTAGAAATTACTGTATTTTGCATTTTAATACAGTTTTGATGGTTGAATGACTTTGCAGGTACTAAACTTCCCTAAGAAAAATGCAGAATCACTGAGATGGAAGTATAACATAGTATTTGTCTGCTTCCTACAGAGGCAAGTTATTATAAATGTTACGATAATAGATAGTTCCTTTCTGTTTTAGACTAATAAAGTAATACCCTAGTTGCAAATCCAATATTAAATATGCTTTTTCTCATTTCATTTTCCAGGTTCTATACTTTTTGTAATGTATAAAACATTTATTTATCTAAGTTGGACAGAGATTATACCTGTTGATTTTCTTGAGTTTCCAGTTGATAATCTCTTTTCCTTTTTGGTACCTCAATATTCTCAGGTAGCAGGCTTGAACAAATTAGATGAAGGGCACAGTATTGGGGATGCAAACAACATCTGTGTAACTGAGATACTTAACAATATTTCAAAATGGAAGGTATATGCTTATTAAATACATGCTATTTGCTGTTGAGTTCAAACAAAAGTTTTAACAGTGTATAATGAGAAACAGAATACTTACAAACTGTAGTCCAACTTCCAATGGTATGATTTTCAAATCTCTATAATTATTTTCTTTATGCAAAAAAAAGTTGAAATAGGATTCAGAGGTTACCAAATGTACAGATGTTTTGCAGCCGGCTCTTTTGGATATGGAAGTTTCGGCGGCCACTCCTCATACAGACGTTTACAGACGTTTTCCCCGCTGTTTCCTTTCCGGCGAGTCTGGTATCACTGCTGCCCTGCATGACCTAGTGTTTGTATTGAAGACTGAAACTCTGATAGTCTTTGTATTGGAGAGAAAGTGATGTATATATATATATAGATGTTTAGATATAATTGCTTCCCTATTGTTAGTTAACGTAAGGGCAGAAATCGATTGGTCTTCAATTAATGTCTTTGGAAAAACAAATCCGGCTCTTCACCATAAATATTATATGGGAAACTGAAGAGTACCACCGCCTTTAACTTATAAATTAAATCTGATTGGCTTATAAAAAAATCTTGGCCTTAAAATAAATAGAAACAAAATATTTAGTTTAAATCTTTTTTGGTAACCGATGAGTTACACGTTCTTTTAAGCAAAATGACATAAATATTTGATACTCTTCAAAACGACGTAGTATTGTTCGGGCAGGAATTTTTTGCTCCTATTATTTTGCTTTAGAGATTAGTATAATAGTATAATAGTGTAATAGTATACGCTGTAGATCCAATTATACCTCTAGATCCCATAGATCCTCGTCTGTAAGCTCGAACTCCAATTTCGAACTGAGGTCCCGGTCCCTAACTCCAATTAGCTCTGGTGCATGCTTTTCTACAACCTTTTCATCAGTGATGATCCTCATAACAGGGAAGGCATTAAGGTAGTTTTGGAACTGTTCTTTGCGAACGGCAATTCGAAAGAGTAGATTCAATCCAATTAGAGTCTCAAACTCCTTAGGTAGCCCCTTTCGGCCCTGCACGTAATTAATTTTAATTTTTAAAAGTTTGTGTACATAGGAAATTTAAAAAAATTGGTAAATAAGTTAAGAATTGGTATATTAATAAACATTTAGTACCTTAGTATGGGAAGAATTCAAATCATCTGCGCTAACACCAAGTAGATCAAGGCACTCCCTGTCCCATAGAAGGAAAGGAGCATTCCCATCCAAGTTCACAACCCTCACTTTAACCCTGTACCTCAAAGTTCCATCACCCCAATTCCTGTCACATGTAGAACACCACAGCCACTTACCTTTCATTTTCAGCTTTTTGTTGCAACCCTTTGTTCTACACGAAGCATAGTACCACTCAGGATCATCAATGAACACAATCCTTGCTGCCCCCCAAAAATCTCCAAACTGCACACACACATATAGAATTAGCAAGGTATACTCTGGGCCCAAATCAAATTCTGTTTATATATCTTGTACATAATTATCAAGTTATATTATGGTTTATGGTTTATGATGTAGGTTTTAGGGTTTGTGAAGGTTGGAGATACATACTATATTTCATGTGATCTATTTTTGCTAAAAGAAAATAAAAAATAGCATGGTTATATACCTAACCAAGTTTAATTTGTGTGTGCAGGTTTGGGGCAATCACAGAATATGGTTTGCATAACCATAGCTGGTCAGGTTGACACTCACTGTCCATATGCCTCAATGTAACAATGGTCAACTATATAGTGATAAAAAATCTAACGGTATACTTCACAGAATTATTAAATTACTCAAACATTATATTTGTTACAAATCTAACGCATATTATTAAATGCAGATTACAAATCAAGGATTGGAATTGATATTTCACCAGAGAATTGGTATACAGATAATAGTATATCTACAGCACAATGAGCTAAGCACCCACTAACAGTCTATCTAATACTTATACTATATTAAGTTTTAATTTGTATTAATGGGATGCTAAGTTCTATATTGTCTTCCATTATGCAGGTTTGAGATGCCTACATAGCATGACATTCACAGTATTATTCTATAAATTTAAAGACTACTTATTTCACAATCAGGTAACCATCCAATGGTATACTTAAATTCATACTCAATTTTAGTCAATTAACCAAATAGTATATTTGTTAATTCTCACAATGTGTATTATGCTCATGCATATTACAATTAAAGCAGTTGGAATTGATGTGTACAATGGAAATCTGCAGTACCTCCTTGTCTATGTATATTGACTAAGGTAACAACTAATAGCTTTTAAATTTTTAGATTACCTCCTTGTCTCTGTATATTTCACTGATAGTACGGACTTCCATATCACCGGATAGGGAAACTGAATATGAGCTGCATTCCTTAAAACTCGATTGCGAAATGATACTGCGCATTGGAGTTTGTTCCTGACTGATACTGTGATTGTTATACAAAATTCAATAAGAATTAGGGACTAATTGAATAAGTAGTGCAAGAATAAGAATTGCCTGACTGTTTTCTAAACTATCAAATTCAATAAGTAGAGACCAATTGAATAAGTAGTGCAAGAATAAGCATTGACTAACCATTTTCTAAACTCCTCAAATGGTGGAGATTCCTGATTGAACAGCAGTTGTGTTACATCATAGAAGCTACAAATCTTAACATCCCCACCTTTACAAATTATGTTAGTACCCATTAGACAAACCATAATATAAGTTAGGCAGAAACTAAAATTTGTTATGTACTTACTTTTTAGACACACCCTAGCCCTACAAAATTGGATCAACACCAATAAAGGCTCTTGTGAAGTAGAATTGTAAAATGCCTCGATCTTGCCTACGTGTTCATCCCACAAAGTACACATCAATTGTATACCACTGCAAAATGTTAGATAATAGATTAGAAGAGCAGAAACTCTAAAAATAGAATGAAAATAGGAAAAAAAAAACAATATCCTATACCACTGCAAAATGTTAGATAATAGATTAGAAGAACAGAAACTATAGAAATATAATAGAAATAGAATGAAAATAGGAAAAAAAATACTCAGTGTCTTCAATGGTGAAGTCAATCAGCCTAGAGTTCTTCCCATTAATCAATTTCTCCTGGGGGCAGTGAATCTCAATAACTCGACCAATCACATCTACAAAATAGTGGATTAGAGTATAATAATAAAATAATATTAACAGAATAGATTATTCAGTAAATTAAATAGAAAGATAACAATTGATTACCAAAGAGGTGTTTCTCATCCAGGCCTTCATTAGACTTGATCTCCCTAAATGACTTCAAACGATACATTTTCATAGGAAATTTCGCATGCTTTAAATCCTTTACCATAGTCTGATAGTTGAATTTAATCATGTACTTCTGTGGACTGGTCTTGTATGAGTAGAAATTAGTGATCACACAAAAATTCTTAATAGCGTAAACTGAACCTTCAGAAAAAGAACTTAGGTACTTATCCACATATTCTTTGGGTACATGAGCATGCAGAAAGGAACCCTGTGTATATATAAATAAAATAAATAGGAGCTTTATTTATATATCTCATAAATAGCAACTGTAAAAAATAAAAAACAGATATTTTCAACCCTAAACTGCCTGGTGTTCATTGGAGATATTTGGCTAGCAAGGATGAACATCTTGTTGTAGGGAAAAAGAAGAAGAGAGGCCTGTGTAAATTTTTTCTGTGCAATGGCTTAGTGTGTATATGTGCTGTATATATAAGGTCTGATGACCTTTCGTACTTTTCCATTCGAAATTAATACCTAGAGAATATGTATGGGTTCGTGGGCTCAATGTTACATATGGGGAACTGATGGGATTAAATACATTCTCTAATCCCATTGGATTGGAGAGTGATCTACCGTAGATATTTTCCAAAACGTAGGTTTCTATAAAGTTTAGCTATTACTCTGCATAAACCCTTCGATTTCCGACGCAAATACAATTAATATTTCGGCTATGTCAAAACGACGCCGTTGCTTTTGGGCGGGAGTTTTTTGCTCCTATTATTTTGCTTTAATATATATAGAGATTAAGTGAATTAGAGATTTTTTCCATTTTTTCCTTTGTTACTCCTAACATTATAAGTAAATTATAGATTATTTTGTATTTTTTCATTTATTAATATTAGTATTAATAATATTAATATTAATATTAATAATTTTTAATTAATTAATTATTAATTATTAATTGTTTGGGTGGAAGAGTTTGGGCAGAAAAACATAAACGAAAATTTTGTTTTTAGCAATGGTATAGATATAGATTGTTGTTGTTGTTGTTGTTGTTGTTATTGTTATTGTTATTGTTATTGTTATTGTTATTGTTATTGTTATTACTATTACTATTATTATTATTATTATTATTATTATTATTATTATTATTATTATTATTATTATTATTATTATTATTATTATTATTATTATTATTATTATTATTATTATTATTATTATTATTATTATTATTATTATTATTATTATTATTATTATTATTGTAAACACGAAAAAGTAAACTTTGTATATATTCACAAAATCCGTGTACAGCGTGTGTATAATTCAATGTGCAGGGTACAAAATCTCTGTCTAGTCCTCTGATTCTTCACTAACGTTATCTACTGAAATGCCTCCGGGATTCAAATAGCGTAGCCTCCGAGATTCAATTGGCGCGTGCCTCCGGGATTCAAACGGCGTAGTTTCCGGGATTCAAGTGGCGCGACTTTCAGCAACGAACGTCAAGAATTTAGAAACGATCAACCCTGCAAAGTTTCAAAACACATGCAATGGATTTAAGTCGCCTTAAGATCCTCAAATGCTTTCCAAAGACTTCAAGATCTTCGAGACAATCAATTCTGCAAAGCTCCAAAGTACTTGCAATGGATTCAAATTGTCTGCAAAATATTCAAAAGATGCCTTCAAGTATTCAAACGTTCTTCAATTCCTTCAAGCTCTCCAAATGCTCTCAACTCCTCAAGTCTTCAAGTTGTTCAATGCCTTCAAACTCTCAAGTCTTCAAGTTGTGTTTTGGAATGAAAATGAGGGTTCTATTTATAGTGAATGCCTAACCAAAATCCCTCAACAAACTCTCCATTTTAGATAATTAATTAGTTAATTATTCATTTAGGAAAATGAACCTTGCCCAACATCAAGTCTAGGTCCATTATCGTATAACCTAATTCAAATTCAAATTAAATTATAATTATTTAATTCAAATATAATAAAATTATATTATATTTAAATTATAATTATAATTCAAATTCAAATATGAAATGGGTTTGGACCAATTAATTAATTCAACAGCCCAAACCAAATTTAATTGGACTAATTAAATCAATTTAATTTCTATGATCCAATTAATTAAATTGGCCCAATAACAATCTCAACATCGGCCTAATAACAATTTCGTCAGTCCATTTGTCGGGTTCAAATTTTTTGTGTGTACAATTATTATTATTATTATTATTATTATTATTATTATTATTATTATTATTATTATTATTATTATTATTATTATTATTATTATTATAGGTCCTTTTCATTTCTTTTTTCTAATGCTAATCTTATTATTATTATTATCGTTGTTGTTGTTGTTGTTGTTGTTGTTATTATTATTATTATTATTATTAATTATTAATTAATTAATTATTAATTATTAATTATTAATTGTTTTTGTGGAAGAGTTTGGGCGGAAAACACAAAAGATGATTTTGTTTTAATAATAGTATAAATTATTATTATTATTTGAATTTTAGGTTCTTTTTCTAATACTAACCTTATTATTATTATTATTATTATTATTATTATTATTATTATTATTATTATTATTATTATTATTATTATTATTATTATTATTATTATTATTATTACCATTAGAGTGAATTCCATTTTTGGTCCTACTGTTATAGGGACTTTTTCAATTTTAGTCCACCATAATTATTTTTGCTACATTGCGTCCACTGTTATTAAAATTGTTCTAATTTTAGTCCATTTTTAGATTTTTCGTGGACTAAAATTGGAACATTTTTAATAATAGTGGACGCAATGTGGCAAATATAATTATGGTGGACTAAAATTGGAATGACCCACCATATAACAGTAGGACCAAAAATGGAATTCACTATTATTATTATTATTACTAGTATTTTCACCCGTGCGATGCACGGAATGGAATTGTTGTAATATATTAAAAATATGTAAATCGATAAAGAGTTAATTTCACCAGAGGTCGCTCACTTTCGTGACAATTCCAAATTTAATCCTAGACTATAGTTATTAATTATTACGATTTATTCTATGTTATAATTCTTACGTTAATATTCTTACTATTATTATTAACACTATTTTAAAATTTTAGAATAGAACTTTAACCCAGAATTATTGTACGAATGGGAAAGTAGAAATCAATATATTTTATTGGGAAGAGAGATTTTTTAGGAATTAGGTGGGAAGTTAAGATTCCAGGATTTTGTTATTATATATGGTATATAGATAGATAGATTTATATGAAATAAAATTACACATTTTATTATATTATATATACTTACATGTCATTTACTTTTAAGTGTGGACGAGCTAATTATTTTTGACAAACTTCAAGTTCTAAGCGACAGGTGGAGTCGTGGATCATGCACTTCAGAAAGGTACTAACGTAAGGTCTATATAAGTGATAGAGCCCATGTCATAATTTGTAGCTGTGGAGTTCAGTGTTTACTTACGTTGTGAAATACAAAAATCATTTTCGTAGCAAAATGCAAAATTACTTACATGAAATCTCACAAGTTCCTCTCGTGGGGTTCACAAGGCAGGGAAATCCAAGGAAATCAAAGACTTCCTTTTTAGTGTCAAACTTCAAGGCTTCAAGCTAGCCCCTTTCATACCCTGCATCATAAACATTGCTTTATTGAAACCTTGTGGCTTTACAGAAACTGAAACTAACACCAAAAAGAAGATACAGAGTAGTGAAGTAAACAAACCATACCCGTTTCCCATGAGAACTTTGAAAAGCAGGAAACAATCCTGTATCATCCAGTCGAAAGCCCTTTGATTCTGCCAATAATCTAAGCCTGCAGGAACCCAATAAGAAAGGAGATATTGAAAGTGTTGATAAATAGCTGGTAGTTTATAGTTGTTAGCTCATTGGGTTAGTGAGTTTGAATAGTTAATATGTTAACTATGTAACTAAACAGGACTATATATTATCATTTATCACCTGCTGGGCAAATATGATACTATTTTTAGACCATTGTTGTGTGTATCTGAGTGATGAATTGTATTTGTTGGGCGAAGGCCAGTGAATGGTCAAATGGTCAAATCCATCACCCTGCCTCTCGAGAATGTGACGAGCCTTCGAGATATAGCTTTTGGTGTAACTGTAAGCGTTTAACCTTAACAAGCAATATCAGAGCCAGATCATGGATTCAAGTCCCAGCAAGAGCAAAAACTGGGTTATTGGGTCATTGCTATTTGCTATATCTTACCTTCAGTATGTGTAGTACAAGATTTCAGTCTAAGTCTAAGGAAATCAATATTTGTATGTGCAAGATTTCTAAGCCTAAGGAAACCAGTGACGGATATATTATATCCACGACCCGACCCGGAGCACCATGTTGGAACCCAAAAGCACCCCGCCCATGGCACCATGGAGGTGCCCCGAGCCGAGCCGAGCTACGTGGGGCTCGGGTCGGGTAGCACGACCCTACCCGAGCTTGGGACCCGCCCCGCCCCGAACCGACCCGGGTCCCCGGTCAAAGGGCGATCTAACCGCCCCCCTTTTTAGGGGGATCGGTTGGGGGGTTTGTTGCATATAAACCCCCCCCCCCCCCCCCCACCTTGTCTCTTTAGGACACCTACTTCATATTCACTTCCTGTTCTACACCCTTTGTCTTACCACATCTTTGTAATAGCCAATTCTACGACATTTAATATAATATACGGTCTCATGGCCTTTACGACATCGTTCTATATTATTTATTTATTATTCGTATTACGTTCTTATTCGGATTTATTGATTCGGGTCCACCCCGGGTTAATTAAATCCATCATTGGTGCTCTTGTTGAGAGCTGTTATACCAGTTCAAGCGTGTTCTATACCCAGTGGTCTACCGCGACCAGCTACTATGGCAAGATCGAGATCCAACTCTCGCCACACCAACGGTTCCCGCGGCACCCAGCTTGTTGCAATCGGGAACGACCCCAACGGTGTCCCCAGCCTTTAACCGGCCACCTCTGCCAGGTCGGGGGGAGGCATGAGGGATTGCCTCACCAACCACCGTAGCGGCGGTGCCCCACCTCCCGCCACCCCTGTTCCGGACCTAGCCCTTGTCCGCGAAGGGGTGGAGGTCTTTGAGCAAGCCTCCACGGCGCTAGCCCGGGTCGCGCGGGGCCTTCGAGCAAGTGTTCCTACCGACCCAGGCGTCAACCAAGAACTGCCAGCACCTGCTCCACCTCCTCCCACCCGGGGGCGCAGCGGTCCAAGCACCCGGCCACCCCAGACACCCATCACCCAGGGGGAGGTCAATTCACCACGCCAGACGAACACACGGGGAGGAGGGGGCTCACGGCGTGACCGACGTCATGAGGACGATGGAAGGAGGTCAAACCAAACCAGGCCCGCCATGGAGAGGCTGGGCAGCCGGGTGCCAGCTTGAGAGAGGTTGGGCCCAATGCCTGCCGCCAATGGGCCTCCGCCAGCAGAATCATGCTCCCGCAGGCAAACACGAAGACAATCAGTTGCCCAGAGGTCTCCAAGCCACAGACCCTGAGCCCGGTCGCGACAAGAGGCGGGCTCGCGAAGGTCACCAGGTCGGGGGACCCAAGCCCCACCACGGCGTGAGCAGGCCTCCCGGGTCGAACGATCAGGTGAAACGAATGGTAGAGCCCCGAGCTCCCATCGGGAAGAGGTCGAGCAGCTGCGGAGGAGGATGGACGCTCCAGGATGTGTTGTCCTCCCCATTCGCAAACACCATCATGGAGGAACCCTTACCTCGAGATTTTCGCTTTCCCACCATTAAAGCGTACTCGGGGACCACGGACCCGCGGACGCACCTCACCAGGTACAGGGCCACCATGATGATCACCGGGACTACCGACGCCATCCTGTGCCGGGGGTTCTTCACCACCCTAAATGGGCAGGCGCATGACTGGTTCAGATCCCTCCCGGAGGGGTCCATCTCCACCTTTGCGGACCTCACCCGGCAATTCCTGTCCCATTTCGCCACCGGCATGCAACGAAAGAAGCAAATCGCCGACCTGCGCAATCTGAAGCAGGGGAGCTCAAAGTCATTAGCCTAGTACCTCAGCAAGTGGAAGAAGGAGGCCATGGGGGTCGCCAACTTTGATGGGAAGTCGGCCATGCCGATCTTCCGAAACAACTTGAGGTCGGGCACTTTCTACCAGGACCTCATTAGGTATCCCCCCCCCCCCCAAGGAACTATACCGACCTGATGGACAGGGTAGCCAGGTACGCCGACGCCGAGGCCGCCGAGAAGAGGAAGAAGGACCAGGAGGAAGGGAGAGGTCAAAAAGACAAGGCACCCCAGGAGGAGCGCAAGGCGCCGCGGCCACATCAACGTGAGTATGCTAAGGGGCCCAGGCTGAACCCCACACGCTATCTTACCCCGCTGACACAACCTGTGGGTACCATCCTGGCGCATGCAGAGGACGAAGGGATCGTGGTATTCCCGAAGGAGGAGTGAATGAAGATATCCTCGAGGGGGGACCCCAACAAGTATTGCAGGTTCCACCGGCAGAAGGGACACGATACAGACGAATGCATCCTCCTGAAGAAACAAATCGAGGAGCTCATCCAAATGGGTTACCTCGGCCAGTTCATTAAGAAGTCCGGCCAGGCGCAAGGCCAGAAGCAAGGCAATGTATGGAGGAAGGGGGTGGCCAGGCGCCATCCACCTCGGTACCCCGTAAGAGGGACCACGACCACAGCTCCGAAGAGGAAGAGAAGACGACGTAGGACTCCCAGCCCCCGAAGAAGCGTGCCATATACGTCATCTTCGGGGGGCCGTGGGAGGGGACTCGCCAGCCGAGCGGAAGAGGTGGGCGAGAAGCTTGTACGTTGGGGAGGTCACACGAACGCCCCACGAGAAGAAACCGAAGAGGGAGCCCATCACGTTCACCGACGCCGACCTGCCAGACGGGCCCCTCCCCCAGCGAGACGCCCTGGTGGTCAAGCTGGACATCAACAATGTGGTGGTGCACCGGGTGCTCGTAGACACGGGTAGCTCGGTGAGCGTCATGTACTACGACACATTCACCCAGTTGGGACTCTCAAGAGGGCAGCTGGAGCAGGTACGGACCTCCCTGTCCGGGTTCACGGGACACTCAATTGATACGGAGGGGTCGATCAATTTGGAGATGGAGGTAGGCACCCCACCTCACACCCGGAGGTGGGAGGTCGAGTTTGTGGTCGTCAAAATCAGCTGTTGCGCCCACAACATTATACTCGGCCGACCCGCCCTAGAAGATCTCAGGTGCGTAATTTCCATGGAGCACCTGTGCCTCAAGTTTTCGACACCGACCGGGGTCGGGGGTCGCCCAGGGAGACAAAAGGTGAGCAGTAGTTGCTACTTAAAGGTGTACCGCCAAATTGGTCAGAAGGACCTCCAGGTCCACACCATCGCCGAGAAGGCATTTCGGGAGGAAGCAGGTCGGCCTCGGGCCGAGCCCGTGGTCGAGACAGAAGAGGTCATCCTCGACATCAGCCGACCCGACCGGGTTGCGAAGGTGGGGGTCGGCCTCCTGGCCGAGCTCCGGGCACGGATAATTAACACCATCATGAGCTACAAGGAGGTCTTCTCATGGGGCCCCGAGGATATGCCGGGCCTTAGCCGAGATGCGATCACGCACAAGTTGGCTGTCGACCCCGCGGTCAAGCCAGTCCTGCAACGCAAGAGGTACCTCTCCGCCGAAAGGAGGGAGTTCGTCAAAAAGGAGGTCGACACCCTGTTGGAGATCGGTCATGTACCCCACCTGGTTAGCAAACGTGGTCCTCACCCCAAAGCCACCCACATGGAGGATATGCGTGGACTACATCGACCTCAACAAGGCCTGCCCAATTGACCCCTTCCCCCTCCCCAACATTGACCAATTGGTCGACGAGACCGCAGGTTGTGCCCTCATGAGCTTCCTAGATGCGTTAAGGGGTTACCAAGATTTTCATGGAGGAGCCGACGAGGAAAAGACAGCCTTCACCACACCCGAGGAGGTCTACTGCTACAAGGTCATGGCCTTCGGGCTAAAAAATTCAAGTGCCACCTACACCCGAATGGTGGCCAAGGTGTTCAAACAGGTCCTCGGCTGCAACCTGCAGGCCTACGTCGACGACATGATTGTTAAGAGCACCGAGGCCGACCTCCACACGGACGACCTAACCGAGGTATTTTCAATTATGCAGCGTTTCAATTTACGGTTGAACCCTAAAAAGTGCATATTCGGGGTGCATGGGGGGGGGGGGGGGGGAATTTTTGGGATACATGATCTCGAAGAGGGACATTGAGCCCAACCCCAACAAGGTCAAGGCCATCCTAGACATGGAACCTCCGAGGTCCCTCCGGGAGGTCCAGCGCCTCAACGGACGGTTGGCAGCCCTGGGCCGTTTCCTTTCGAGGTCAGCCGAGAAATCTTTGCCGTTCTTTGGAGTCCTCAAAAAGACCAAGGGCTTCGAGTGGACCGAAGAGTGCCAGAAGGCGTTCGAAGACCTCAAGACATACATGATGTCGCTCCCCCCCCCGGCCAAACCCGTTAAAGGGGAGGTCTTATATTTGTACCTGGGCATCTCGCAGGCCGCGGTCAGCTCCGTGCTGGTCCGGGACGACGAGGGGGTCCAACGACCCATCTATTATACGAGCCGAGCTCTGCAAGGGCGGAAATCAGGTACACACCCGTGGAAAAGGCCATCTTCGCAGTAGATGGCAAAGAAGCTAAACCACTACTTCCAGGCCCACCCCGTACAGGTCCTCACCAACCAGCCACTAGACGCAGTACTAAGAGCCTCAGGGTCGGCCAGCGGGTTGGTCAGGTGGGCGATGCGGCTGAGCCAGTTTGACATCCAGTTCAAGCCCAGACCTGCTATCAAGGGGCAGGCACTGGCTGACTTTATAGTCGAGTGTACTGCCCGGGAGGCCACAGAGCGGGTCCGGGACGAAGACGAGGAGTGGTGGACCCTTTCAACGGACGGGTCCTCCAGCACCAAAAGCTGCGGGGGGGAGGGGGGGGGTCGTCCTCATAACCCCGGAAGGATTTCGGGCCTACTACGCCCTCCGCTTCGCGTTCAAATTATCCAATAACGAAGCCGAGTAGGAGGCGCTCCTGGGGGGCTCCGTCTCGCGCTACATATGAGGGTGGAGAAGCTCAAAATCCGATGTGACTCTAGACTCGTGGTGGGACAGGTCACAGGTGGATTTGAAGCAAGTGATGAAAGAATGAAGAGGTACTGGGACGTGGTGCTCCAACTATTGGGACAGCTGATCAATTACGAGGTCCTACAGGTGCCCCGAGACCAGAACACAGATGCTAACATGTTATCCAAGCTCGCCCTAGGGGCCCCAGAGCATATTTCAAAAATAGCCCGAATTGAAGATTTCAAGAGGTCGAGCCTGGACGCCTACCCGGTCCTACCTGTGCAGACCCGACCTCCCTGTTGGTTGGAACACCTCAAGGAGTACAAGAAGACAGGTGCACTGCCTCCTGACGAGGTCGACGCCAAGCTGGTGAAACGACGAGCCCCTAAGTACGTGATTATGGGGGACACACTTTACAAGAGGTCCTACAACGGCGCCTTGTTGCGCTTCCTGTACCCAGACGAGGCCAGGTCAGTCATGGAGGAGATCCACGAGGGGACCTGCTCTGCCCACCAGGGGGCCTTCACCATGTCCCGGAGAGCCATCTTACAAGGGTACTTTTGGCCCAAAATGGCCAAGGAGTGCGCCGACTACGCCAGGAGTTGCGAGACCTGTCAGCACTTCCAGGTCACCCCCGGCCGACCCGCCACGAACTACACCCCCATCAGCTCGGTCATCCCCTTCTCCAGGTGGGCGGTGGACCTGGTGGGAGCTCTACCCAAGGGGTCGGAAAAAAAGGAAGTACCTCATAGTTGCAGTGGACTACTTTACCAAGTGGGTGGAGGCGAAGCCGCTGGCAACCATAACAATCGCCCGTTACAAGCACTTCGTGTACAAAAATATTTTGTGCCGTTTTGGGGTCCCGATGCAGCTCATCACCGATAACGGACGCCAATTCGAGGGGCAAGAGTTCAAGGGGTTTTGTGCAGAGTGGCACATTACCAACAGCCAGGTGGTCGTGTGCTACCCTCAAGCAAATGGGCAGGTGGAGAATGCCAACCGCACCATAGTGGATGGCCTGAAAAAGAAACTGGAATCCGCGGGAGGAGCGTGGGTGGAGGAGCTCGACATCATTCTTTGGGCCTATCACACCACCCCCCGGAGGGCCACTGGGGAGACACCTTTTTCCTTGGCCTACGGTTTTGAAGCCCGAGCTCCAGCGGAGGTGGTCATACCTTCCCGGCGGGAGGAGGACTACGACCCCGACACGAACGAGGAGCACCATAGAGCCGACCTCCACCTGATTAACGACGGACGCGAAGCAGCTACGATCCGAGCTGAAAACTACCAGAGGCAAACCAAAGTATACCATGATAGGCGAGTCCGACCCCGCTATTTTCAAGTGACTATGTGCTCAGGAGGAGGGAGGCGAGCCAGCCCTAGGCCGAAGGAAAGTTTTCCACCAATTGAGAGGACCCATACATTGTAGCAGCTGTGGTCCGCCCGGGCAGCTACAAGCTCAAGACCTCCAAAGGAAAGATGATAGCTAGGGTCTGGAACTCGGAACATCTGTTGAAATTCTACCAGTAGACCCACCACGTGAGAGGTGGACCTTGACATTGCTATTCTAGGAGGACCCTTCCCCTCCCCCAATAATGTCTTAGTGGACGGCAATAAGCGGAATAAAATTTCATGTTACGAAATTTGGTATGAGGAGGACCCTTGTTATGAAGTTGGTTTTCGTTTACTTATCTCTCAAAAAAAAAAAACCACGTAAAATGAGGGGGAACGAGTGCTCACCCGGTTTCCCCCCGCGGACCCTAAGGGGGCACGAGGTCCGACCTCGCGTACCAACCCCGACGGGAGAGCCCAATGGCGTAGTCTCATGGGACTATGTTAAGGAGGCTAACACAAGGCCGGAAAAAAAAAAAGGCCTAGCGCACCTCGGCACAACACGGAGGTCCACCATGGCGGTGCACCTCAGCACATTGCCGAGGTGCACCATGGTACCACCTCGGCAGTGTGCCGTGGTGCATCAAGGCGGACCTCGCCGCGTTGGCGAGGTCCACCCGTTTCACACCTCGGCACGCTGCCGAGGTCCACCGTGGTGACACCTCGGCAGTGCGCCGAGGCTCGGAACCTCAGCCGGTGCCGAGGTCTCACACCTCGGCACGACTCGAGTTTGAGCACATCGGCGCTAGCCGGGGGCTCACGAAAAAAAAAAGTACTTAAAAGTGAGATAATAGCAGGTAAATGGTGGCAACCATCACGTCACCAAAGCAAAGGAGCCAATTGTTCATACAAAATATTCAAAAAACATCCAAGTATAGCACATGATAAAGGAGGCTGATGGTCTATTCAGAATGACAAGTCTAGTACATCACCAAGGGAAAACAAGGTCGGCTACTTTGAGCTCGGGCCACGTGCGTGAGGAAGGCGTGGAGCAAACCGACCCGGGGGGAGCGGAGCAAGGAGATGGAGCGGCCCAAGACATCTCACCTCGACCCAAGGCACCTCGGTTCAGGACACCTCGGCCCAAGGCACCTCGGCACCAGGCACCTCGACCCAAGACGCCTCAGCATAAGACACCCCAGCTCAAGACGCCTCGGCACAAGGCACCTCGGCCATGGTGAGCTCGGCTACATTCGCGCATGGAGGTCGGGTCAGGATATCTACTCTCTTTCGTCATCGACTTCCACTCGCAACGAAGAGAGTGGGGGACTCATGACGGATATATTATACACACGACTCGACCCGGGATAGCAACACGAACCCGGAGCACCACGTTGGAGCCCAAAAGCACTCGGCCCACGGCACCAAGGAGGTGCCCCGACCCGAGCCGAGCAACGTGGGGGGCTCGGGTCGGGTAGCACGACCCTACCCGAGCTCGGTCCATAGCGAGCTCGGGACCCGACCCGACCCGGTCCGCCCGGGTCACCGGTCAAAGGGCGATCTAACCGCCCCCTTTTTAGGGTGAGCGGTTGGGGGGTTGTTGCATATAAACCCCCCCCCCCCCCCCCCCAACTTTTCTCTTTAGGATACCTACTTCATATCTACTTCCTATTGTACACCCTTTGTCTTACCACATCTTTGTAATAGCCAATTCTACGGCATTTAATATAATATACAGTCTCACGGCCTTTACGACATCGTTCTATATTATTTATTTATTATTCGTATTACGTTCTTATTCGGATTTATTGATTCGGGTCCACCCCGGGTTAATTAAATCCATCAACCAGTATGTGTGATTTCAGTCCTTCCTAATGAAAGTCACATTGCGGCGGTCAAGAAAATTCTATGATACTTGAAAGGAACACAAAGGCCGGTGAAGGGCCAAGGGTAAGGAATGCAAAGTTTGGTGAAGGGTCAAGGGTAAGCGCTTGATCCTAATAGTATTCACAAACAGAGTTGAAATATCTAGATGACGTTTATTCAAAGAAAAAAAAAAATCTAGATGATGTGAAGTGCCAAGCACCTTGTACTCAGATGGCACCTCAGTTGCTCTCCTTAAGGTAAGGTCACATGATCGAATCTCGATGGTGGGGTAATGATTCTGTGAGCTACAACAGATAGAGAAAGTATAGAACAGATCTACTACCTTGTAATAGAGTCAATAGTACTCAAAAAAAAAAAAAAAAAAAAAAAAATCTAGATGATGTGAAGTAAACATACCTCATGTTCAACACGTCATTCCTTGTCCATGCTATCAGTCCAAAATGCATATATATAATATATCTCTTGGATATACTTAAAACAAACAAACCCTACCAGTAAAACTTTCACATAATATAAGCTAGGTATATGGCAAGTGTTACAAAGACTGAGATATACCCCATTAACCCATTTCGAGATTATAGAAAGTTCTACTGCACTTCCATAAACATATGTTATAGAATGAAGAGTATAATCATAAAAAGTAACCATACAATTAGGATAAAGAGTTGATGGAAATACCTAAGTCAATGCGATGTCGTAACTCTCGACCAGGATAGGTGCAAAGACCGAAATATGTGTCCACTCCTGAATCCGTACCTTGTTTCCAAATGTACAGTGACAGAAAACATATGAAACAATAAGAACCGAAACTGTTACACAAAAATATAGAACAAAGTTAAATCTGTTGATCAGAGACCGGGCCCAAGTCTAGCACCCGGTGGTTGTGGGATTGTTGAGTGGAGGCCGCTAAAGAGTTTAAAAGACCAAGTCTAGCACCTAGCATTTCGAAAATGTGTGGTAGTATAAGGAAATAAAATTAGGCATTCGCTATTAGCAATAAACTATAGCTTTTGGCGTAAGTGGTAAGCGATTGATCCTAACAAAATCCATTTGTAAACATGTGCTCTTTTTCAAGAGGAATATAGATTGGTTTCACTTATTTATGAAACAAGAAGAGAACGAGCTACAACATTTCACTTGACCTGAACATTCTCCGCAACATGTTATTTTGGGTAATTTACAGAGAAATCAAAACAATGAAAAACTTAATATAAAAACAAACAATTTACCTATTCACTGTGAATGCAAATCTTCCCTCAAATCATATTTCGATAAGATTTCTAGAAACACAAAATAAATTGCAGTATCTGAAATACAGGGTTCAACCTACTAAAACTTGAAGCCTGAAGTCCTAACCCATTAGCTAATCTAATTCATGGCCTTATAAATTCATATGTTCTCTCTTATTTTTCAATGTGGGACTCTTAACGGGTAAATTCTTCGATCAGAGAAGATAACGCGAGTGACTCATGCATATAAGACAGATATACTGACTTCAGCTAATGACACTTTTTTTGACAAAATAAAGAATGAAAAAGAAAATCTCAACAGAACCTTTTCATCCTTCTCAAAATGTTCCAATTTGGACAGCTTCCCAGTGTTTACTATCTCCAGAATCTGTAACAAGAACATTGCTACCTTTTATTAGTAGTCTTCAATGCATAACGAAGAGAGAGATACTCCAACAAAATGCCCTAAAATTCACTCTTTGATATATTCTATTCCAGAAAGTTATATCTAACACCACCATATATAATTCAATAATTTATTGGTAAATGATCATCCTATGAATTAGATATTGTAAGAGCATTACTTGAAATGGTCTGAGATTAAAGAATTCTAGAGCATCGATCACAATAAAATATGGCTTAATTAAGACAAGAAATATATATTCACTTACATGTTCTTGCATATAGCCAGAGCACCTCATAAAATTCAATATATGCATATACTTTCCTGGCACAAATAAATTTGTTGTCCTGACTTGTGAGATTAGTCGTGGGTTCAAGGTCCTAGGCTTAGCTTGCTTGATTGAACTCTTTAGTTAATTTGCATTAGATAGTCATTAGCTTTTTTTAGTACTACTGACTCTTGTTAAAATGTAGTAAATGTTCATAAACTACTTTCTTTAACCTATTAAAACATAAAGAGTCAATACGGGAAATTGATGACATAACCTCCCTCATTTGGGAAAGTCACTCCGTGCCACTAGATCACAAAGTCATTGGCATAGTTTACATTATATTCTTAATTGTATTCTCATTCTCTGTTCTAGTCTTCGGTCTTCCAATTTCCCCAACAAATCGTGGTTTCACCTCTTACGCAAGATAAGAGGCGAACGCCTCAGACACCAATCATTATTGTGTGGACCATATTTTGTATATTGTAAAATAATGTACATTCAATACAAATATAATGTACATTGTATTCAGGGGATGTACATTAGTTTTGCGCTGAGTGTACATTATATTGGGTATAATGTACATTCAATACAAAAAAAATGTACATTTCGTATATTAAAAATGTACTTTTTATTATGATCCACATAACATTGTGTGGACCATGGTCCACACAATAATTTGCCCTCAGACACGGCAATGTATATCGTGCACCAGGGCGCGCATTGCTTTGTGCGCCCTGGTAGCAAAACGACGTCGTTTCGGATCTTTTTTTTTTTTTTTTTTTTTTAAATTTCGCTATCCTGTGTCGGTTGTTAATTTTCTTTAAAAAAATTTTCATGTTCAAAAAATGTACATAATTGTATAACAAAATACACATACTTTTTTTGAAAAGATAATACACATATTCTAACATAATACATAATACACATAAACTCTTAACATAATACACATAAATTTCCTATTCCGGATGTACATAATTGTATAAAGGGAAAATGGCACTTTTCCCACCTAAGTTATATATTTATAGCACTTTTTCCCCCTCAATTATTTATGTAAGCACATTAGCCCCCTCAATTATTTTAAAAGTCGTGGTTTTTCCCCCTAATATATTAAATTGACATTTCTACCCTTAAAGTAAATATTTTATTTATTTTACTTCTCCAACTAATTATTGCGTATATGTAGCGATTACCACGGTTCGGTTCGAACTGAACCAGACACTATAGCAATCGAATTAAAAGTTTTCGGTTATGATTCAGATCTAGAACCCAATATTTAGATTTCAATTTATTAAATTTAAGAATTAAAAAAAACTGGATCATGAACCATGAACCATGAACCGGCGGTTCCGGATCCGATTCGCAATTTTGAACCGTCTTTATTTTAAAATTTATTTTTTATTTTAAAATAGTCTAAATTCAACAATAAATGTATTTTATTTTTTCAGTTCGGAACATGAACCGGCCATTCCGGTTCGCGATTTTAATAAACTCTAAATATCGCGTTTTGATTATAAATTGTAATTGGAATATTTTGGTTTGGTTGCTATAGTATCTGTTTGGTTTGAACCAAATTATAGTAATAATTTCTTGGAGAAGAAAAATAAATGAATTATTTATTTTAAATATTTATTTTAAGGGTAAATATGTCCATTTAACATTTCAGGGGAAAAAAGAGCCACTTAAATAATTCAGGGGGAAAAAGTACTATAAGTATATAACTCAGGGGGAAAAAGTGCCATTTTCCCTTGTATAAAAAAAATATACATAATTGTATATAGAAATGTACATAATTGTATACCATAACATACATAATCGCATCAACTCCCTACATAACTTACCAAAATGACGTCGTTTTGGGAGACGTGAGGCGCACAGTGCTATGTGCGCCATGGTGCAGGGTATAACGATGGCTCAGACACCTATCGTTATACCCTGCACCATGGCGCGTGTAGCACTGTGTGTCTCGTGCCTCCCAAAACGACGTCGTTTTGGAGGCGCGGTAAGGAGTTGATGTGATTATGTGTATTTATTTATACAATTATGTATATTTATTTATACAATTATGTGTATTTTTTTATACAGTTATGTGTGTTTATTTATACAATTATGTGTATTTATTTATACAATTATGTATATTTTTTATACAGTTATGTGAAACGACGTCGTTTTGCATCAGGGCGCACAATGCAATGCGCGCCCTGGTGCACGATATAAATTGCCCTCAGACACCAATCGTTATACCCTACACCACGGCGCGCGTAGCACTGTGCGCCGCGCGCCTCCCAAAACGACGTCGTTTTGGGAGGCATGGTAGGAAGAAGTTGTGATTATGTATATTTGTTCATACAACTATGTATATTTTTTATACAATTATGTACATTTTTTTTATACAATTATGTACATCCGAATCAGGAAATTTTTGTGTATTATGTTAAGAGTTGATGTGTATTATGTTAAAAGTTTATGTTTATTATGTATTATGTTAGATTATGTGTATTATCTTTTAAAAAACAATATGTATATTTTGTTATACAATTATGTACATTCATGTATACAATTATGTACATTCATGTATAACATTATGTACATTTTTAAACATGAGATTTTATAAAGGAAAATTAACCGCCAAACACTGGGTAGCGAAATTTCAAAAAAATAAAAATAAAAATTGAAACAACGTCGTTTTGTATCTGGACGCACAATACCACGTGCGCCATGGTGCAGGATATAAATTGCTCTCAGACACGCCCTGGTGTAAAAATGAGGCGAATTGTTTAGCCCAAGTAGTATTTTAGAGCCTAAATTATTCTTTAAAGCCCACTCAACCCCAATAAAAAATATACATAACCCTAATTTGATTAAAAATAGGAGAAGAGTCTAAAAATAAGAAATGAAACCACAAACCAGCGACCCTCCTCATGCGACTTGCGACTGCCGACTGGGCGAGTTGTGGCGCAACCTCCCCTCTAGCGACCTCAGGTGATGCCTCGTTTTCTGCCTTCTTTTGTTTATTTCGTTTTTTTTTTTGGTTTGTTGTTAGCCTGTTATTACAGAGTATATATATATATATATATATATATATATATATATATATATATATATATATATATATATATATATATTGTTCTTTGTGTTATACTGTTATTGTGTGTATATATCTTATATATAGTAGGCAGTAGGCAGTGAGTGCCACTTGGCAGTAGGTAGGGAGTGCCACTGTTATTGTGTGTATATATTTTATATATAGTGTGCCACTGTTATTGTGTGTATATATATTAACTTGGCAGTAGGCATTAGGAATTTTTTTTTAATATTAATTTGTTTGAATATTATTAATTATTTGTAGATTGATTGTTTATAAAAAATGGTTAATCATTCAAACAAGAGTAGTGCGGGCAGTGGTTCAGGAAATCTTGGAGTGACTACGGATGCAAAAAATAAATATGTCATATGTAATTATTGTAAGAATGTGAATTGAATTTTATTTGAATGCATTTTCATATGTTGAATGTTAAATTGTAGTTTGTAAATGTGTTGAAATCTGTCAACTATTATCATGAAACTAATTG